GAAGATTGCAAAACCTGGAACTCTGTCCCCAAGATTGACGCTGCAGTTATACATATGGCAAGAAAGACCACTCTTCCTATTGACTCCATGGCTTATCTGAGAAAGCCTATAGAAAAAAAAAAAGGCTAGATGCCAGTCTTCAAGAGTCATACCTGGCGTTAGGATCTCTGCTACATCCAGTAGTGTATCCTGGTTTTGTGCTGCCCTAGGCATGACAAAACTCAGGCTCCCCCCCCCTCTTAATACATACACACACACACACACACGAACAGACACACTCACATTTTTTTTTTAATTCAATCCCCCCAGCCTCCTTACCTTTGGGAATGCTGGGGTGGATTTTCGGTTCCCTGGGGTCCAGTGGGGCTGCTGGGCGGCCAGCCAGTGACAGCAGGCCTCGAGGGAGCACTGATCCTCCTGTTCAGCTCCCTTGCGCGCCACAAAGTGATGCCGGGAGCCGGAATATGACACCGCCCACTGACACCGCATCTCTCTTACCCTGTCTGGGTCAGAAGGACAGACTCCTGGGTCCTATCAATCTTGGCCGAAGGATACAGGATAGAATTCGAGGCCTTTCCGACAAAAGATGTGTTTACCCAATCTCGAGTAGCAAAAGGAGAAAGAGAGAGAGCTATGAGGGACTGCATTTTGAAACCCCTGAAAGACCAGGTGATAGAACATGTTCCAATAAAAGAACAAAGGAAAGGTCACTATCCCACGGTTTTCCTTGCCCCAAAACCACAAAAGAAGTGGAGACTTATCCTGGATCTAAAAAAATGTAATTCCAGAATAAAAAGAAAGACATTCAAGATGGAATACCTTTCAACTATCATACCAAACATAAGAATGGGGGATTGGATGACTTCAATCGATTTGAAAGATGCATATCACCAGATCCCAATCAACAAATTTCACTGCAAGTTCCTCAGATTTTTTGTATTTGGAAGACACTACCAGTTCAAGGGACTTCCGTTTGGGTTAAGCCTGGCACCGAGATCATTCTGAAAGATCCTAATCACTTTGGTGGCAGTTATCTGAAAGAAAGGGATAGAGATCTATCATTATTTGGACAACTTTCTGATTGTAGGTACATCCAGCAAGACTGTAGCCCTCCACACTCGTGATCCATGGATGGAAGTTGAACATGGAAAAAAGTATGATGATTCCCACTCAGAATATCATATTCCTGGGGGCAGCCATAGACACTGTCAAGGGTCGAGTGAAATTGTCAACAGAAAGAATGGAGAGGATTCGGATGAAGATCAGGAATCTTCGCTACAAAAAATGCATTACGTCAAGGGAGTTTATGACCCTTATTGGATCTCTTACATCAACCATAGGATTGGTAAAATGGGCCCAGTGGAACATGCGTCCCATCCAAATGAAGTTCCTAAAGAAATTCAAGAAACAAGAGTGCAACCGGGATCCGAAAATTCCTCTCACTCGAAATACATTGGACGACCTGAGTTGGTGGATGGACATCAAGAACCTATCTTTGGGTTTTCCTCTGGAAGATCCACCATGGAAAACAGTTACAACGGATGCACGTCTCCAAGGATGGGGTGCACATTTGGAAGAAAAGTGGATACAAGGTATATGGGAGTCGAAAGAAAGAAGGTTGCACTCAAACCTGAGAGCCATATTCTATGCCCTACTGGGATTTCAGCAATGTGTAAAGAATTCTTGGGTGAAAATTCAGACGGACAACAGAGCAGTAGCATCATATATAAACCGACGAGGAACCAGAAGCAAAGCTCTATTGCTAGAAATATTTCCACTGATGGAATTTGCTCAAAACAAGCTACAGGGTCTGAAAGTGGTCTACCTTCCGGGAAAAGAAAATGTTCTGGCAGACTATCTCAGCAGAACTACGATTCAATCAGGAGAATGGCAGTTGCATCCAGAGGTATTTCAACTGATATCGTTAAGGTGGGGCACACCTCAGATCGATTTAATGGCTTCATACCGGAATACTCAAGTCCCGAAGTATTTCTCCCTAAAGCCGGATTATCGATCAGCAGGACAAGATGCCTTTTCCCATCCCTGGGACTTCGATCTGGGGTATGCATTCCCTCCCTTACCTATGATTCACAGATTGTAGAGGAAAATTCGGAAGGAAGGGAAGATGGTTATTGCTATAATTCTAATTTGGCCAAGGAGGCCTTGGTTCCCACTCCTGAACAGAATGTCCCTAGGTCCTCCATGGCCTCTTCCTCAGAGAGCAGATTTGTTAATCCAAGGTCCAGCGATTCATCCCAATCCAAACCAATTGAATCTGGGGGTTTGGCTCTTGAAAAGCAGAAACTTTTAGAGCAAGTATTACCAGAGTCTGTGGTGGATACACTTTTAAAATCCAGGAAAAGTTCCACTTCCGCAAGAAGTTGTTCTGCCTTCCTTTTACCCAAACCCTTCATCCACGGAAGAAGTTAAACTCCATCAATTGGATGTGAAGGAATGTGTGAAAAAAATATCTAGAGGTCACTAATCAGTTTCGAAAATCGCAGCACCTATTTCTTATTCCTTCCAGCTACAGAAAGGGAGATGCGGCTTCTACCGCTACTTTGAGGCGTTGGGTTTGAAACACCATAAAAATGGCCTAGAAAGGCAAGAATCTATCTTCTCCGGATAAGATAAAGACACATTCTACTACAGCATTGGCTACCTCCTGGGCTAATTGGGCAGAGGTTTCTCCTGACGACATATGCAGGGCAGCCACCTGATCGTCTCCTATGACATTCATCAGACATTACAAGCTGGATGTGGCTTCTTCATCCTCATCCTTTGGGAGAGGTGTTTTGTCCTCAGTTAACACTCATGAATAAATTTATTTTGCAGCAGACTGATGGTATATGTTTTTTTTCACCCTCCCTTTATTCTGAGCTTCGGTATTACCCATAAGTGATGCTGCCATGAATGGCCAGGAATATAGAAAATTTTCTCCATACTTACCGTAATTTTCTTTTCCTGGCTAGAATTCATGGCAGCATCAGCAACCCTCCCATGTTTTTGTTTTAAAGCTTTATACTGGACTGTGGGTTAGAGGGAGGAGGGACCTTTTATGCCTACAGTCTGGTTATAATTGTTTCTTGTCCTGTTCCTGTTGGGGGCTGAGCTAACCCATAAGTGATGCTGCCATGAATTATAGCCAGGAAGAGAAAATTACGATAAGTATGAAGAAAATTTTCTATAGTGTTTCATTGCAGAAAAACAAATCAATATTATGACATTCACAGTAAACAAAATGCCATGCAGAGCTTGGAAAATAACATTCCTCACACTTATTTAGATTTTTTTCACATTACGTACCACATTTCCATTATTTGATGTGGAAGGAAAGCCCAATTTCACCTGATCAAAATGATATGTAACAAGTATGGGTGCACTTATGAAAGAGGTAAATTATGGTTGAACAATAATATAGCTCAAATTCTAGGTTTTGTTTTGGTCAGAACTTGTACAATTGCCTCTGTCCTTGAGGGGTAAAACTATACTCTCTGCAGCATCTGCTTGGACCCCGATCAGAGACTTTCCATATAAGCCACTAGTAGGCAACAATCCCCACACTGCTGTATTTTAGTAAATTAATTCCCCATTAAATGGTTACACTGTTTATGTCATATAGGTGAAGTGTGTGTGATGGATGGCGTTTAGATTTTAATCTGTATTACATTTCAATATGCTACATAGGACATGACTGTTTGCCTTCTAGAATGTGGAGGAGGACTCAGAGCCAGATTATGTGTTTGTTTCTACAGGTGCTTGCAATCACATTAGATAGCAATATGTTATTGCATTACTCAATACAGTTCCTTTACCACAATCACCTTTTTTAGCCTAATGCAAAAAAATAAATAAAATAAAAAAGTGATGCAGAGACTTAGTGAAGCATAACCCCCAATACATGTATATGGTTTTCCAGAGTCCTACATTGCCTTGTCTATGTGTGTAATGTATGCACAATGTATATTTATTTATATATATATTCACACACACGCATGTGATGGTTTTACAAATGGCTTCAATGGCCTTTTGCAGAGTGACTTCTCTTAGGCCTGGTACAATGCAAGCAAGTCTATTCCATAGGGTGGTTTTCAATACGAGATATCACAGAGCCACTGCTCATCTAACCGGAGACCACAATCAGAGGCAAAGTGCTAAATATACAATGGACAGCAGAGGGCAGTAAGCAGTCCTCGGTACAGATATGTAAATCAATAAAGGCAGTCTACATGGTGTGGGCAGGCACTAAATCAGATTACACTGTTCTACCCCGTGCTGGTCATTATGTGGATCATTATAAAATGGCTATAACGGTATTGCACTCTAGTGAGAGCTGTTGAAAATTCCAAGTGAATTTCAAACCTAAGGCCAAAAAAGCCAAACTGGAACCATAACTCACTGTAAGAATTTTTAGATTGGCTACTTTAGCCAAGCAGGCTACTTGAACTTAAATTTGAAATTCGCTTGGAATTCTTGACAATTCTAACTTTTCTAAATAACCCTGACAATGTCAACGCTCATGATTCTTAAATGTGCCTTTTTAAAGAAAGTCAATTTATACGCATATACAATTTTCTTCACTAAACCTAGATTTATGAAGAACTGACAAATTAACTTCTGGAACAAAGTTCTGGGCTAGACAATAAGAGTTAGAGAATCTTTCACAGTTAGACACCTAGGGCAAAAATCTGGAACTTCCTTGCAATTCTCCAAAATTCTCAAGCAACTCCATCCAGCCGCTAAAAAACAGATATTACCGGATGACAACACTGGAAGCCACGATTTCGACCGCCCCTCCCCAGAAGTGGGGCATATTGTGGGCTTGAATTTCCTGACACACTGACCTTTTCTTGTTTTTATCTTGCTGATAGACTCATTATTTCTCATACAAGCCCATTTGTGTAAATGTGAAGACAGACATTTCATGGGAACGCATCTATATGGAAATATATAAGGATGTGACAAGTAACTAATGCTTGCCCATCTGGGACATTATCAAGCAACATATTTAAAATTGCTTGAGTTAACAAGCTTATAATGTGACTTTACATACAGACGTGACTTATTTAAAACAATATAAAGAATTATGTTTTAAGAAAACACTTGTGTCAATACAGTGCAGTGTTGATGTGATCACCGCAACGCTTTGTGATTGAGTACTTACATAAGTATTGGTCTCCATAATATTGCACATGAAAAAACAAAAACACATATATAGTGTAAAACCACAATATACAAAAAAAAGGAATTACTCAATGCACTCACTGCTCTTTACGTGTGAGTCCAATTAGTAATTCTTACCCCACCCCCTATACTTCTGTATTGTGGTTTTGCAATATATAGGTTTCTTTTCACGTGCAATATTACAGAGACCATTACTTATGTAACTACTTAATCACAAAGAGTTGTGGTGATCACATCAAACACAGAGCACTTATACAAGTGTTTCTTTACAACTTTTTATTGTTTTAATTAAGTCACGTCTATATTTAAAGGCACAGGGCACGGTTGCGGCTACGTTTAATATATTTACAGCACCATTTTCACACTTGCTGTTTTTCATATATTCAATGCTTGACAATGTTTTACATTCGGTTTGTACTGTTCTTTATTTTTTTACTTTTAATACCAAACTAATTTTGCCCATTGCAAGTGTGTGCATCAGTCAGCAAAGGCTTATATTTCATCCTAAGTGCTCATCAGGATCTGCAAGATGGCGTTTGTGAAATGCTTCAGTGACCAGTGTGGACTGATGCACTTACATTCTTTGCAGTGGTCATACTGGAGAAATCAGAAGTCATATTTTCATTCATGCTGCAAAACAAGATATAGACTAGACTTATATACATATCTTAAGCTGACCTTGTCATCTACGTTTTGAGGATGACAGTGAACTTTTAAATTGATTAAGCATTTCACCCAACAATTAAAATTGGAAAAATGGTTTAAATTATTTTGCATAATTTCTCCTACAGATTTAAGCATTAAAAAAAATACTTTTTTTAAAAATTGAATATTCAAATCCCCCGATGACTTTGGAACCTTGAGCAGTTAACATTTCATTTTCAATAATTTACTAGTAATGTGTGCTCTTTATAAACTAACATTAAGTGACTGAGCCAGATTTATAAAAATTTTGCTCCCAAATAGCTACGATTAAGTAACCATGTAAAACTGAATTTTTGGCAGTGTTGGAATCACTTGGCGTCGGGTATTCCCATAATTGAATGAGGATGAACTACAGACCAAGACAGTGGGTCAAGAAGATTCCTCTTAAAATAATACAAAACAAACAATGAAAAATAGAAATTTTGACTCCAGATGCCCTTACTGGAGTCTTTCGGTCATTTGGAAAGTGGGTGGGGGCTGGACAAAAAAACCACTCAAAGTCAGTTAAGTGACACCGCCCAACGAGAAATTGTCATAAGGGTCCACCACCTCATTTGCAAATTATCAGGACAGAACAAGGCACAGTTAAAGTAAATTCTGATGCATCCATGAGGATTCTTAGTATAAAAGTAACAGCCACTTGATGTAAATAGAAAAATCAGTCAAAAGTGATCATTTCCAAGAGTCAATATAAAAATGTTTAAATCGGTGCAAGTCAAGGAATGTTAAAAAAAAAAAAAAATCCGAAATCACGTGGCAGTTGCTACATGTCCACATGAAAGGCATCAAAAAAGGAGTAGGCTTGTGGCAATGGCACTGGGTAGATGTTAGACATAGAGGTCTAGTTTATATGACACGGTTTTGCAACCTTTGTCTGAGAACAGTTTTTCCACTTTTGGGTAATATGTTAATTCCTTGGCCACTTCCCCTGCAAGACCCTCGTCAGGTTCAAAGCCTCGTTCCTTCAGCTCTGCCATCACGCACATTTTCACGTGTCTAAATTCCAGTGGCAGAAAGGGAACATAAAAATCTATCAGATTCTTCTCAATCAGAGTGCTGTGCCAAAATCCACCTGTAGAAAATAGCAAAGGACAATGGTATTTGATTATTTGGATTATTTTATTCTTATTATATTCACACACTCCTAGATATTGTACCTAGTAACGTCCCTACACTTAATAATTATGGCATGTAAAACAGTCGGTGGATCTTTGCAGGGAGTATTAATTATCTAGATTCACAAAACATGTGGACATCATTGGAAGAGTCTGTTTTAGCACAGTCATTTAAGTACTAAGTAAGCAAGAACAGTCTTAGCAGAAGTGCATTTACCATCAACATATTTCGGGGTTTATTGTGATGATTTACTACATAAATAGACTACCCAAAAATGCAAAATAAAAACAATGGAAAAAAAAACAAAAAAAACCCCCCACATTTATATAGCTTATACAGATGTTGCAGAAAGTATTGGTAACCTTTCACATTTTTAACAAAATGCACGTTTTCTCTGCATGTAAAACTGACAAAAAGTATATGGCATCCACTATTCTTTATTCACAGATGTTCGATGCAATACTGATCTGGACACATAGAAGGCTATTTCGGAATGGTCCAATATTTTATTTCATTACATTATTGGGGGCTTTTTAAAGTATGTTTCAGGTCTTAACCCACAGAAGGACGCATGACCTGCAAATAAGACACAGCTTTCGCTCCAGAATGCCTTGATAGTCTTGGGATTTCATCATGCCTTGCACAGATTGTGTGCACCCATCACTGAGCCCTCCGTGTTTTACAATAGGGATGGAGTTTTTTTTTTAAACCTTTTTCCCTTCTTTAAACAGGAGTTGGAACTTGCCAAAAAGCTCTCTGTTTAATCTGTCCAGAGAACATTCTCCCAGAAGGACTGTGGCTCATCAACATTCATTTTGGTAACTTCCAGCTGGAGTTCAGGGCGAATGGTACATTACAGCATTTGATTAAAGGGACACTATAGTCACCAGAACAACTACAGCATATTGTATTTGTTCTGGTGAGTATAGTCATTCCCTTCAGGCTTTTTGCAGTAAACACTGTTTTTTTCAAAGAAATGGCAGTGTTTACATTACAGCATAGGGATGCCTCCACTAGCCTCCTCAGATAGCTACTAAATTGGGCAGTGCTGTACAATGGAACTGACATTTAGTGTCTCCACTCTCTGCATGCAAACACTAAAAACTTTCCTCAGAGATCCATTGATGAAATGCATCTCTCTGAGGAGATGTTGATTGTCCAAGACTGTTTGGCAGGTGCTGGCTCTGCCCCTGATCTGCCTACTTGACAAGCTCAGCCAACCCAGTGCTTTCCTATTGTGAGTGGCGCAGAACACCACTTCTGATTATGTCAGCCAAGCAGGCAGATCAGGGGCAGAGCCAGCAGGAGCAGACTGGAATAAATGTAAGAGTCTGCTGTATTTAGAAGGGCAAGAGGGAGCTAAATGGTTGGTTTTAACGTTATAGGGTCAGGAATCCTATAGTGTTACTTTAAAATGCAAGGGAACCAATACTTCTGGCCATGTCTTTATATAAACACCTAGCATTGCACTTACTGTTTTTATTGTTGAACAGACCAACAGAAAGCACAGATTCCAAATCCTTAAGCTGCAAATCTTCCCTGCTCTTCCCATCTTTCCAAAACTCCAGCACCTTACGAGTAATCAGGTCTCCCCCTGCATTGCTGAACAAATGTGGAGAATACGATTTAGTGTAGTTGTACTATGCTCACACGCATACATACTCTCCCCTATTGCCCCCCCTCCAGATTACTATAATATTTATATATATATATATATATATATATATATAAAAAATATAATATATTTATATTATCTCATTACAGTTGAAGAGAACTTACAATCTGGTTACATGAGGTAAATGAAAACAAACAGTACAACACAGGCTCTTCTCTAAATATATGCACAGTTGTATTTTGTCTTGTTCTGCTTATTTGAGCATTTGTGAGGGCACGCTATGTACAGAAGATTTCAGGATACAATTAATTTTCTCAAGATAGTTTGTCTGAATTACCATGCTAGCTCATTTACTGTAGTTGTGAATTGGAGGGGTCAATATTTACCCAACTACATTTTCAAAGAAAGCCAAAAATGGCCAACGCCAGTTTTACCATGATGCGCATGAACGTGGAGATACTAAGAAGGTAAGACTTGTTTGCGTTTCAGCTGTCTGTGTAAAATGTAATTGGGACACACTCAACCTCTTATCTAAAAAGAGTTTTTCTGACTATGCCTTGGAAAATTCTCTTGAAGGCAGCTGTCACAGCTGCTAGATTATGTATTTCTTTCTCTCTATCAACCTAGAATACTCTGCAAGTTCCAAAGTTATTATTTGTCATAGAAGGACACAGATGAGATTTAACAGGACGGAGAGTGACTTATTTTACAGTGTATAATGCTCTCTAGCCATATTCATGTGGAATGGGAAAACACTGATATCTAGTGGTCAAGTCCTGTTTATGCAAGTAAGCTATATTTCATTCCCTAACTTAAAGGGACTCTCCAGTGCCAGGAAAATTTGCTGTTTTCCTGGCACTGCAGGTCCCCTCTCCCATCCCAAGTTGCTGAAGGGGTTAAAACCCCCTTTAGTGACTTACCTGTATCCAGCGCCGATGTCCCTTGGCACTGGATCCAGCTCTGCCTACGCTCCTCCCCCGAAGTCAGCCGGCGGGGGAGACCTATTGCGCATGTGCAGCCGGCAGTGGGGGAGACCTAATGCGCATTAGACCTCCCCATAGGAAAGCACTGAATAATGCTTTCCTATGGGGATTTCGGCGATGCTGGAGGTCCTCACATAGCGTGAGGACGTCCAGCGTTGTATAACACACTTTTCGTGTTCTATGAACACGGACGTGTCCTCTAGTGGATATATATATATTACACACACACACACTGTATCTCACAAAAGTGAGTACCCCCTCACATTTTTGTAAATATTTTATAATTTCTTTTCATGTGACAACACTGAAGAAAAGTAGTAAGTATACAGCCTGTATAACAGTGTAAATCTGCTGTTCCCTCAAAATAACTCAACACAAACATTATTGTCTAAACTGTTGGCAACAAAAGTGAGTACACCCCTAAGTGGAAATTGGGCCCAATTAGCCATTTTCCCTCCCTGGTGTCACGTGACTCTTAAGTGTTACAAGGTCTCAGATGTGAATGGGGAGCAGGTGTGTTAAATTTGGTGTTATCGCTCCCACACTCTCTCATACTGGTCACTGGAAGTTCAACATGGTACCTCATGGCAAAGAACTCTCTGAGGATCTGGAAAAAAAGAATTGTTGCTCCATCTAAAGATGGCCTAGGCTATAAGAAGATTGCCAAGACCCAGAAACTGAGCTGTAGCCCGAGGGGCAAGACCATACAGCGGTTTCACAGGACAGGTACCGTTCAGAACAGGCCTCGTAATGATAGGCCAAAGAAGTTGAGTGCACATGCTCAGCGTCATATCCAGAAGTTTTCTTTGGGAAATAGATGTATGAGTGCTGCCAGCATTGCTGCAGAGGTTCATGGGGTGGGGGGGTCAGCCTGGCTGTTGTCCCAGAATGAAGCCTCTTCTAAAGATGATACACAAGAAAGCCCACAGTTTGCTGAAGACAAGCAGACTAAGGATATGGATTACTGGAATCATGTCATATGGTCCAATGAGACTAGGATAAACGTATTGGGTTCAGATGGTGTCAAGCGTGTGTCGCGGCAACCAGGTGAGGAGTACAAAGACAAGTATACAAGCATAGCAGTGGGAGTGTCATAGTTTGGGCCTGCATGAGTGCTGCCAGCACTGGGGAGCTACAGTTCATTGAGAGAACCATGAATGCCAACATGTACTGTGACATTCTGAAGCAGAGCATTATCCCCCTCCCTTTGGAGACTGGGCCACAGGGCAGTATTCCAATATGATAACAACCCCAACCACACCTCCAAGATGACCACTGCCTTGCTAAAGAAGCTGAAGGTAAAGGTGATGGATTGGCCAAGCATGTCTCCAGACCTAAACCCTATTGAGCACATGTGGGGCATCCTCAAACGGAAGGTGGGGGTGTGCAAGGTCTCTAACATCCACCAGCTCCGTGATGTCGTCATGGAGGAGTGGAAGAGGACTCCAGTGGTAACCTGTGAAGCTCTGGTGAACTCCATGCCCATGAGGGTTAAGGCAGTGCTTGAAAATAATGGTGGCCACACAAAATATTGACACTTTGGGCCCCTTTTGGACATTTCCACTTAGGGGTGTACTCACTTTTGTTGCCAACGGTTTAGACATTAATGGCTGTGTGTGGAGTTATTTTGAGGGACAGCAAATTTTCACTGTTATACAGGCTGTGCACTTACTACTTTACATTGTAGCAGAGTGTCATTTCTACAGTGTTGTCACATGAAAAGATATAATAAATTATTCACAAAAATGTGAGGTGTGTACTCACTTTTGTGAGATACTGTATATAAAATGCCAAAATACCAGAGTATTGAAGTATGCAATTTTTTTTTATTTTTTTATTGGACTAACATAATATTTCAAAGAGAAGCTTTCAAGAGCTTCCTCTCTTCCTCAGGTCTGAAGCAATACTAATCAATCTGACAGAGTTTAACACTTAAAACAACTGATGATAGAGAAATGGGGGTGGGGGTGGGTGGGGTGTCATGAAAAGCAGAAGATGTGCCTGAAAGTGAAAGGTGCAGGCTGGCTGGGAATAACCAGAAAAGGTAAATAAACAGAGGAGAGTCGATAAGGTAGTTTAAAAAATATTATATATATATATATATATATATATATATATATAAAATTTTAGTTGTTGAGATTTGACTTTATAATTTCATTATTTTCTATAAAAGAAAAGAAAGGTTTTTCATTTACTTGTCTAGAAACCTGAATAATTTGGTTCATGATATTTTACTCTGTATACCAAGCTGTGACTTGACCTAAGTTTCACACATGGTATAAAAAGTCAGAAATATAAAAACCAAACACAACCAATACAAAAACTTTAGTTAGCTATTGAGTTGTGCAGTTGACATTTCCCCTTTAAACATTAGATCTAAATCTACATCTAGAAGGCACCAATATCAAAACAATTACATATGTACATGATGAAGCCAACAACTGGTAGTGTGATTCCAAAGATGCTCTATTCTCCCAGGGACCATGACATTTGTATTTTGGTTGCAAGAGAACAAAGGATTAGAGACATCAGCTTTACAGAGGTAATAGCATTGCCACATCCTATATTAGCCCTTACCTAAGGAAAATGAAGACTGCTTTGCGATAGGATACACCATCTATGTGATCATAATAGTCCAAATATGGTTTGATTGCATCAACTAGTCCTGGGTGGAGTTTGTCCATCTCATCGAATATAAATAATGAACGCTCACACTTGGAGACATTTCCACGAATCCACGATTGCAACTGGTCCTGTGCCAAAGACAGGGAGTTATATGACTTGTCTTGTTTGTTTAGAGATTTTCTTCATTATATACAATTAAATAAAACCGAACCCATACCCCATACACTATAACATCTAATAGAGTTATAGGAACACGCCAAGCACCATAACAACTACAGGACATATGGACTACTTGCATTAGGTGAGCCAAGGCACTTCTGGTACCATAGCAACAGCATGCTCAGTCTGCATGTTTTAACTATGTTTGTGTGAAAGAATAAATTACATATAGGACATAAGTAGCAAAAATAACCATTACTTTTAATATTTTCATATTTATATGACTTTATTGCAAAAGTGGAATTTAAAGTGTTCTCAGTGAAGATATCCCACTGTATTTTTATTGTGCAGTGCTCAAGTCCAAATTGGCATCATCAATGTGTGAAATCAAATATGGGCCCTTATTTAAAGGAACACTATAGGAACCCATACCATTTCGGCTCATTGCAGTGGTCTTGGTGCAATATCCCTGCAATGTTAATTAATGTAGTTTCTGAAAAAGTGCAATAATTACATTGCAGTGTTAAAACTTCCCCTACAGCCACTAGAGGTACTTCCTGAGGACGCTCTGCATGAGGATGTTCGTAGCCAAGCAAAACCCCACAGGAAAGCATTGCAGCAATGCTTTCCTATGACGCGGGCCTAATGCGATTGCGTTGTTCGGCACGCATGAGCATTAACGTGTGCCTACTGCGTGACATGAGGAGACAATTGGAGAGCACCAAGGGACATTGGATCAGGAGAGTACAGTATGGGTTTATTAACCTTTAAAATGTGGTGGATTGCGGTGCTGGGTGCTCTAGCAAGCATCATTGACAATGTTCTGGCATTCTGTGATTGCATACTGGACTTCCAGTGATGAGCACACAGCACAAAAACAGGCACTGCCAATTTGGCTAAAAGAGCATATCTTGTTACCTACATAAAAGCTTACGGCATTATGGTTGTTTTTTAAACAAATACATCTGTGAAAAAGTAAACTAGCAAAAGCAGTATCTGCAGGTTATATACAGCAGTAAGTTCTCTGGGCATTTGTGACGCTGGAATGCAAGCAAGTTAAAACCACCATTTAGGTGGCTTGACCGATTAGAAGGGGTTAAAACTTACTTTATTTTCAGGTCTGCGCGGGTCCACCGGCAATGTCACTAAGGAGGCAGATTCGGGACAGGGCCATCATTAGAATGTACGATTTTTAGCCATTCAATGCTTTTCCATAGGGAAAGCATTGGATTGGCTGAAATCAGCAAAGAGGTGGGATGGGGAAGGGCCAAATGCTATTTTGGCCAATCAGCACCTCCTCGTAGAGATGCATTGAATCAATGCATCTCTATGAGGAAAATTCAGCGTCTCCATGCACAGCGTGGAGACACTTAACGGCAGTGCTGTACACTGAGCAGCACCTCCAGTGACCATCTAATGAGTAGTAGTACGAGAAGATGAACGTCAGTGCTGCACATGTGCAGCACAGGTCCAAGAAGCACCTCTAGTGGCAGTCTGAGTGCCAGACTCTTGAGTCTAGGGGCAATGTCAACACTGCCATTTCTCTGAAATGGTAGTGTTTGCATAAAAATGCCTGAAGGGAATGATTATGCTCTCCAGAACATCTACATTAAGCTGTAGTTGTTCTGGTAACTATAGTATCCCGTGAAATCTACCCCTACTTTAATCAGACCTACAAATATAAGTGAATACAGAGGGTGTCTTAATGTACCTTGTATAATTGGATCTTGCTGTCGTGAGGAAAATGTAGGGTGGAGATGAATAGATGGATAAACTTGCTTTCCATGCCTAATGGATACATGTTGTCTGCAATGATTTTACTGATGAAGTTCTTCCCCGTCCCGGTCCAGCCATGTAAAGATAATGCAAGTGGTTTCTTAGGGTTTGGATTACTGAAAAATCCATTTAATGCCCGCAGGATGATATTGTTAGCCAGATGCTGGCCAAAAATCTTCTTATTGAGATCAGCTTCGAGAGCTAGGAGAAAAGAAAAACAGGACACCTGATATAATAGAGCTATTCTCAACAGAGAATAAATTCCAAGTCAACACAAAACACAGCTGTCATCCATTTTTCACTTTTTTTTTTTTTTTTTTAATTGTGCATAGTAGATAGTAGTAGTAATACATTTGCAAGTAAGGACACAGTATTACCAATCAAACACGGGTAAAAACATTGGGTGAAGCAGAAAGGTGTCGGAACAAAACTGCACATTTTTATCTTTTATATTTAGAACAATACGAAACACTAGCTTGGTTTTGTTTTTAAAATAATATGAATGAAAGAAATAAAATGCGGGTGCTTGGTCTAAAAAGTGCTGCAATAATGGGGTATAATAAAGTGATGATCAGGTGGAGATTTTGTAAAATCCCTGCACGTGTGGTAAGCCCTGCAGCAGGAGAATGCCAAAGTTTGCGCAGAGATCACTAGTGTGATTAATATTAAAGCTCCATGGGTCTCACATAAGCGACCAAGTGGAGGTCGTAAGCGAGTTAGAGCCTACAGAACAGCTGTTTTGTCCTGGAACAGAGGAAAGCGGTCCAGGACATCTTGTGTGGCATCGGCTGGAGCCATAGCCGGTTTAGGCAGCTGGAAGCAGTGGTCGATTTGAATGCATTTGGCTTGGCGTTGGGGTAGGAGAGTGGCCACTAGGCGCAGAACAGAGTGTGACAGTTCTTGCCCATTGATTGTGTTGGCTATGCTCTGGGTTTTCATGTTGTTGCGTCTCTGCACATTATCAAGGGCGTCCATTCTGGCCTGCATGGCCTGGTGGGAGGCCTGTAGTTGGTTCATCTTCTCTGATGCATCTGTTTGCCTGTGAGTCATAGAAGAAAAGTCATCCTCCGTCACCTGGACTTCGGCAGTCATCGCCATGATTTCTTCTCTTATGACTGACAGGTCTGCATTCAAAAGTTCTCTGATGTTTTGCAATAGGGCCTTAAAGTCACCCTTGTTAACTGGTGCTGTGAGGTCTTCCTCTGGTAGTAGAGTGCCAAGGCCTTTCATGTCGGGTATGTGATCAGGAGCATCCAGAAGTTCATCCTCAGAGGAGAAAAGGTTGGGTTCCGGTCAAGCCGCGATTATAGGAGGTTAACGATATTGTTCTCCCGCCAGGAATTTAAGCTTCTTTTCCCCATTCACTCCCAAGCTCCTGTATCAAATTCCTGGGGAATGCAGCATGCGTGTAAGTGTAAGATGCGGTTTATTACAGCAGAGCCACAGGAGCTCTGCCGACATGCGTCTGCTCTCCGTGAGTGACAGGATCCGCCACCCACTTCTTGCTTTTTAAAGATTACATTTGATGAAAGTGATTTTTTTTTTTTTTTAAATGATGTATATAAATTTGAGAAAATTTCACTTTGATTTCATCTGGCTGAGCAGCCATGTTCGGTCTGCTTCGACTGTTATCTGACCAACTGATGCTCAATCTAACTTGCCTTTGCACACAGCTGGCACTGGTTGCGCAGCATTTGGTCAGATAAACAAAATATGACTTAAAATAGTTCCTCCGTGAGATAACTAAGGGAAATAGCATCTGTCAAAAAAAAAATAAAAAAAATAAAAAAAAAAAATATATATATTTTAATTAATACAGATCGTTTTTAAAAAAAAAAAAATCATTAAGTTTGATTAATTGTAATAAACTATTTTTTTTTTTTAAAGCTGGTGAAAATGTGATGACAGTTGCCCATTTTACAGCTGATACTCGAAAAATTAGAATATCGTGCAAAAGTTCATTTATTTCAGTAATGCAACATAAAAAAGAAACTAATATATGAGATAGACGCATTACATGCAAAGCAAGATAGTTCAAGCCATGATTTGTCATAAGTGCAATGATTATGGCTCATGAAAACCCCAAATCCACAATCTCAGTAAATTAGAATATTGTGAAAAGGTGCAATATTCTAGGCTCAGTGCCCCACTCTAATCAGCTAAGTAAGCCATAACACCTGCAAAAGCCTTTAAATGGTCTCTCAGTCTGGTTCAGTAGGAATCACAATCATGGGGAAGACTGCTGACCTGACAGTTGTGCAGAAAACCATCACTGACACCCTCCATAAGGAGGGAAAGCCTCAAAAGGTAATTCGGAAGGAAGTTGGATGTTCCCAAAGTGCTGTAACAAAGTACATTAATAGAAAGTTATGTGGAAGGGAAAAGTGTGGAAGAAAGAGGTGCACAAGCAGCAGGGATGACCGCAGCCTGGAGAGGATTGTCAGGAAAAGGCCATTCAGAAGAGTTGGGGACTTTCACAAGGAGTGGACTGAGGCTGGAGTCAGTGCATCAAGAGCCACCACACACAGACGGATCCTGGAAATGGGCTTCAGATGTCGTATTCCTCTTACCTGGGATAAAGAAAAAAAACAGACCTGGTCTGTTGCTCAGTGGTCCAAATTCCTCTTTTTCTTAGGAGAGCAACTTTTGCATCTCATTTAGAAAACCAAGGACCCAGAGTCTGGAAGAAGAATGGAGAGGCACACACTGCAAGATGCTTGAAGTCCAGTGTGAAGTTTCTACAGTCTGTGTTGATTTGGGGAGCCATGTCATCTGCTGGTGTTGGTCCACAGTCACTGTCCAGGGTCAACGCAGCCTACTACCAGGAGATTTTGGAGCACTTCATGCTTCCTTCCGCAGACAAGATTTATGGGGATGCTGACTTCATTTTTCAGCAGGACTTGGCACCTGCCCACACTGCCAAAAGCACGGTTCAATGACCGTGGGATTACTGTGCTTGATTGGCCAGCAAACCCACCTGACCTGCACCCCATAGAGAATCTATGGGGCATTGCCAAGAGAAAGATAAGAGACATGAGACCGAACAATGTAGAAGAGCTGAAGGCCGACATTGAAGCATCCTGGTCTTCCATAACACCTCGGCAGTGCCACAGGCTGATCGCTTCCGTGCCACACCGCATTGAGGCAGTAATTGCTGCAAAAGGTGCCCAAACCAAGTACTGAGTCCATATGCATGCTTATACTTTTCATGGGTCCAATATTGTTCTATGTACAATCTTTGTTTTAGTGATTGCCTGTAATATTCTAATTTACTGAGATTGTGGATTTGGGGTTTTCATGAGCTGTAAGCCATAATCATCGCACTTATGACAAATCACGGCTTGAACTATCTTGCTTTGCATGTAATGCGTCTAACTCATATATTAGTTTCCCTTTTTATGTTGCATTACTGAAGTAAATGAACTTTTGCACAATATCCTATTTTTTCGAGTATCACCTATATGTTCTATAGTAAGCAAGGAAGCGACCCCAATCAGAGCAAATCACAGCAGGAAGAGCTGAAGACAGACTGAATGTGGGTGTTACACGGTGAGCAACACCCACAAAGCTCAGCAGATGGAACTGAGGGGAGTACAGCTGGAGTGCCAGTTGTTTTCACTTTTTTGCTCATAGAGCTCCCAACAATGACATGGATAAGAGGGAAGCGATTTTTAAAAATTGTTATTATTACTTAATGCAGTGATTATATATCCTGTTGTGCAAACCAGGGACAAACCTGCGCACATATACTCTTCACCTGGTATGAACGAATCAAATTATTTTCAGTATATGCCAGAGTGAGACGACTCGTCCGGGATTTACCTGTGGAGTCTTACTGACTGAATACGACTCCACAGGTTAGTCCTGGACAGATCGATTTTCTCAGGCGCAGATCAAAAGTTATTTGGCTTGTTTGTACCAGCTGGAGAACATCTGTACACAAGTCTAGTAAATAACATGTACACTGGCCTATCAGAAAACAAGTTATATATATTTATTGGACAAACATAATATTTCAAAGACAAGCTTTCGAGAGTTTTCCTGTCCTTCTCAGGTCTGAAGCAATACTGATCAATCTGATGGAGTTTAACACTTAAAACAACTGATGATAGCGGGAGGGGGGTCATAAATAGCAGAATATGTGCCCGAAACTGAAAGGTGCAGGCTGGCTGAGAATAGCCAGAAATAGTATATATAAATAAATAAATGTGCACCTTGTCTAACAATCTGTTTGTACATTCCTTCCTTGTTTCACACAAGTTATATGACCTATGAGATATATATAAATAAATAAATGTGTCCATGGTTATGCACTCAAGGTTATATATTAGCACTGCATAAAATTAAAAAAAATAACCCCCACCACCCGCAAAAGCAATAAGTGAAAAGAACTGGCACTCCAGCTGCCTCTGACCTATCATGCTCAGGCAGCAAGCTTCAGACGCTGAAAAAGGGGTTGTAATCCATAGCTGCTCCAGTAGTTGATTAATTTATTTTACCTTTTTTAAAGCATGGCCACCAAATTCACAGACCCCGGCCCTTTCTGTAAAGTAATGGTGCCCAAAAGGGTAAACATTGCAGCTGAACTGCAACTCCCATGAGCCATTGCCAGCCGTATGGCCGCTCATGCACCTGTAGCCCTGGACCAGCTGTGGCTGAGGGTCTACCTTTCTCCCCCCTGACCCCACCCGGCCCCCGGGCTCTCACCGGTAGCATTGAACGGCCGGTCCTCCTCACAGCACTCCGCAAACCGGCAGTAAAAGCGCGGGGAGCTGAGGTAGCCGGTGAGGGCCGAGGCGGTGGCTATGGCGATCCCCGTGGTGATGGGCTCCAGACACCTCGCAGAGCCGAACAGCAGCGCCAGGAGCACCAAGCAGCGCCCCGAGGGCAGCCTCGGTCCCCGCTCCGCAGCCATAGACCATCTGACAGCTCGCAGCAACAACCGCGACTTCTCTTTACGGCACTGCCGCACGGCGAGCCCGTCACTGTGCTGGCATGACGTGGAGGGGAAAAAAAACATTGCAGGAAATCGAAACCGAATTGCAAAATATAGACAATAACAACGTCATTCACCAAAGTGAGAATTTAAAGGGACACTGTAGTCACCCAGACCACTTCAGCTCAATGAAGTGGTGTGGGTGCCAGGTCCCTCAGGTTTTAACCATTCAGATGCAAACATAGCAGTTTCAGAGAAAATGTTATGTTTACATTTGGGGTTTAATCCAGCCTCTAGTGACTGTCTTCCTGACAGCCGCTAGAGGCGCATCTGCGATGCTGGATGCATCGCGCAGAGCGTCCATAGGCAAGCATTGAGAAATGGACATTTTGAATGCGCGCGGGGCACTTGCTGCGCATGCGCATTCCGCTCCACTAGGGAGCTGACGTCAGACGGGTTAACCCCTTCAACGCCATGGGAGGGGGACCCTGAGGGTGGGGGCACCCTCAGGACACTAGTGATCCTTTAACGAGAATTCCAGATTTAAGGACAAAATAGCAGAACTGGAAAAGTCCTCTAAGTCATCTCTGATTTCAGTTTTGCTATTTTAGCTTTAAGTTTGAAATTCATTTAGATTTTTCACTTTACTGAATAACCCTGTAAGAGTCACGTATAAACAATATTTTGCTGCATTTTCTGTTTATGCCCTTCACGTTTGTTCAGCCTCCTGTCCTTTTAAATATTTTGACGCTGAAGAGGTGTAAGAGTAATCCTTTTCTTTCTGACATTTCTTCCCGCAAGATTATGAATACGCCTCTCTTTTTTTTCTTTTTTTTCTTTTTTTTTATACTATAGTTGCTAGTGTATGAAAAAAAAAATTGCAGGAACACTTTGAGGGAAATTTATCTAAATGTCACTGGTACTTTTACATCAAATTTTAGGTGAATATTTGGCACAAATAATTAACAGGGATAATGAAAATTCAAATTGAGTTTCAAATGTAAATGTACAAATATGTATTCCTGACCTTAGTGTTAAAAACATTATGTAGGTGGCTGGCCTCCCCTTAGAAAGGTAATAAACCTACCTTTATTCTAGCACCACACGTCTGCCGGCTCTGGCTTCATCCCTGATGCGCCTCCTTGGCTGAAATAATCAGAATTGACAATCTCCGCCAATCCAATGCTTTCCCTTATGAATCAATAAGACTCCACGGGTAAATTCTGGACAGATCGTCTCTGGCATATGTGGAAAAGAATTTGATTTGTTCGTACCAGCTAAAGAGCATTTGTGCACAGGTTTGTCCATGGTTATGTACTCCAGAATATATTATCACTGCATAAAATAATAATAATAAAAAAAAATATGCGTGCCGGAACTTCAGTGGCTTACTATACTTAAATACTTTGCGGCAGGGCTGCTCCTGTCCTCTCCGTGTCTGGCTATCTGCTTGCTGGCCACCCACAGGGCAACACGGGGGTCGGAGAAGGGCAGGACTCAGCCAGCTGCGGCGGTGGGGACGTGAGGAGTCCAGACTCCACTTCAGCCTGAAGTCACACCACCGCAGATGCGGTACACACAAAGATACACACTGCAACCCAGCACACACACACAAACTATATCCCCAGTGTAGCGCAGCTCCTATATCCCAGCCTAATATCTCTGCTTGGATTCCCTCTTAGCTGGAAGAAGAGGCCTTTATTAATTATAGTCTATTTCCCCAGACATCAAATGACACATTATGCTGGGAAGAACAACAGCATTATTTGGAATAATGCAGCCTTTTATACACTGACCCCGACATGAGGTTTTAATTTACAGTATAGCTGATCCCTCTCTGGCGAATCTATGTTTGGGAGAGAGTTGTGACATCCACCGGTTAAACAAATTATCTCCCAGGCACAGAAAAGCCCAACATACAATATGCTCCAAAATCACCGCATACCAGGCATGAACTCCCACACATGATACTTCTCCAGATAGTCAGAGTTGAATTTTTGAAACGCCACGCCAAGGAAATCCTAGCTGAAAATAGTTCTATACCGGTTGCACCTCAGACCTGGTCATTTAACAGGGGCTGAAGAATGGGGGCTCTCGGGGAATGATTGTTTCTAGAGATACCTTGTACCTCCCCTCAAAATAGCGCTATCCTAGCTCTCTGAAAAGGGGGTCAAAACAGTGGAGCAACTTCACCGGGCAGAGGTGATAATTACAGCTGAGCCGGAGTTCCAGCAGAAACATGGCCAGGTCTCGTGGAGGGCATTGCGGTTACTCCGGCTCCCAGGGCTGCCAGCGGGCGAAGGGGGAGACGTGAGCTCTGCTGAGCTATATGGAGGAGAAGTTAGGGAGAGCCACAGGAAGTGACAGTCTTTTAGAAAGTTTTTGACGAATTAGGTGGTATATGCCACACCCAGCACACACAGACACACTACATCCACAGCACACGCCCAGACAAACTGCATTCCTAGCACACACAAAAATACACTCCGTCCCCTGCACACACAGACACACTTCGTCCCCCGCACAGACGCACACTGAGAGACTGCATCCCAGCAAACATATAGACTCCACATACTTCATCCTCCGCAAACACAAAGACACACTGCATCCCCATTACACACACACAGACACATTTCATCCCCATTGCATAATGCAGAAGCATATATGTTGTGATGTCTAATTTAGTGTGCATTGCTGATCCTGATGAGTTTCATTTTAGAGTTAATAGTGGCGTTGGAGAACCTTTTCCGGGCAACTATTTTAGTCTGCGTTTTGCGATTTGGATTAATTAACTATTTCAGAGTTTAGTGACTAACCCTACATGAATTCACAGCATTTCACATTTTATTGAATAATCGAGTCATTAAATAACCATAAGAGTTAATATTTTTTTAACTCAAATATGCTCAAAAGTATTTGGGAATAAGGACAAATAGCAGAGTAAGTTTTTGAAGCTGAGTTTAATAAAACAGAAATGAAATGAATATTTATGACAAATGTGAAATATAATCAGCATTTGTATGAAAAGACACAAAATAAATTAATACATTTTAAAATCTCAAAATATATTAATCATGTTTGAAAATAAATATAGTATCTCAAATTTCAAAGTTTCAAATGTAAGTTTAAAGGTACACAATAGCAGGTGATAGATTTTCTTTAAATTATTTTTTGTTGACACTTGGCCAAAACACTGGCATTGATTCACAAAGATAGGAATTATGGGAGATTGCAAGGGGACTTCCAAAATAGAGAAATTATCCAACTCTGCTAATCCCTCCCTCTTCCTTTTTTGACTCTTTAAGTTTACATTCTGCAATTCCACCTGCACTCTAATATTCAAACATAGGCACAAAGATGTATCTTCTGCAGGAACAAATTTAAAGCATTTCCATGAACAACTCTTGAATTTCTTCCTGGACAGAGGCTTCCTTAATAGCAAACTATGTAAACAAAATAGAATTTTTTATGCATATAAAAGATACCAAAAATGTATGCATTTACTTATATTTGCAGTGTTAACCAAGTCTTAAAAACTACTTTTATTATCTGTGGAACTGGTGATCTGTAGTGGTTATGGTGCTTTGTTCTGTGTGCACATGTTAAGTCATCTGCGTTTTATTCTTCAATATTATAAGAAATGGAAAAGTTCTAGCACTGGAAATACTGATGAAGTGGAGACAGGCAATTCAATAACCTAATCTAGAGTTTCTCTTGCTGGCAGAGAGGAATGTGTTCAATGTATAGGCGGTAGTAGTGCCTTGGGTGTCGGTAATATGAAACAAATATTAGCACATCCACCCCTATAAGTTGTTGTTATAGAGTCCGTCATCAACCAAGTGAAGGGAATGAAATCTTCTAGAGATGTATGAGCCACAAAGAAATATATTCACGATATATTCACGATAAAAATATTTTACTTTGATCAATGTATAGTAAGTTCAGCTGGTATTACAGTTTTTTTTCAATGCAGCATTGGTCAAGAATCTTCATGCTGGTTTGGCTCTGGCACTAGGCAGCCTATTTAGGTCATCTTATGGGTAATTTGGCTATGTCCTTGTTGAGCAGGCTCTAGTGTTCATGCAGCCACTTTTACCAAGCTCAGAATCAGACAGGGTTATCTACTCTGAATTCTCACTTTAGTGAATAACCATTAGAGTGGTAAATTCTTATCAGAATGCCTGGATTTGTAAATAACACTTGTGTAGCAAAATAAATTTGACAAGTATACTGGCTGTAATTATGGACTGTCTGGACAGGTAGTAGAGGCATCATTAACCCCTTCACCTCGGCACTCGTGTATACATGATTGCCATGACATGCATTCATACCTGGCAATTGTGTATACACTATTTGCATATCTGGAAATCAAATTAGTTTATTGCAAACAGATATCATTTGCATATTATGCCTTTAAACAGTCTTGGAACTACAGCACAGTGGCACCAAAAGCCATTATGCTATGAGCTTCACAGAGCTGAAAACAGAGAGACTGTTCAGCTCTCTATAGCAGTTCTCCTCTGCTCTCAGGTCAATGAGAAAGCCACCCTCCCTCCAGGAGGAAGAGGTACTAGGAGGGTGGCTGAGGCTGGTAGGGCACTGCAGAGCTGCATGAGGGCTGTGTGATAGCATGCTGTAGAGCCTGGCAGCAGGCAGTGCACTCTTCCGTGCTCCATTACTATGTGAAGTGACACTACACATCATAATGAAGCAGGGAAGTCGCTCATGCTTGACAGTCTGTATGATGTCTGCGGTCAAATATTACAACAGACTATAACCACTACAAAACCAGGGTAAATTTGTATGTCTGTCAGTGTGTGTTACTGGCAGTGTATGTGTCTGTGTGAGTGTGTATGCGTGTCTCTGTATTTGTGTACCTGTGTGAGTCTGAAAACATGCATCTATGTGTGGCAGCAGTGAATATGTGTGTGTTTGTCTTTTCTGGCAGTTGTGTTAGTGTGTATCAGAGTGTGTGTATATACATGCATCAATCAGTGTATTTATGTATGTGTGTGTGTGTGTCCGTGTCCAAAGAAGCAACATCATGGCAATGTGACAACATATATTATACGTATATATTGATTTACAACACTCTTTCATTGCCTGTTACTTCATTATTTGTTAAATAATTTCTAAAAGTTTTTCAGTCAAACCAAAATATTTGTTTCCATTTAATAATGTGCTATCTACGCATACTGAAATGAAAAATACATTTAAACATTACTTCCCAGGACACCCAAATTACTTCAGATTCCGGAGGGGTTTTTCTTTTTTTTACAAAACGCTTGGTAGAGAAGGAGTTAATGACATTCAGTGGGTTTGGAAACTTAGTTACTGAGCATGTCCCCATTGAGACTGAGCTGATAGGCACTATGCTCACATACTATATTATATGCTTTAAAACATTTGTCATCATTCCACCCTGTGCCAGGAGACAGAGTAACGCAATCTTCGTTCCCGGCATTGTTTGGCTGCTTCAAACTCCAGAATCTACAAAGACATAGATTAAACTATTAGCACAGGAACTATGTAAGCTGTAAAGACTATAGACAAAGACAATATCTGAGAAATGTTAACTACAGATAGGACACTTAGCACAGGTGTACCTGTGAGCTATCTCAAATGACTGGAAAACTAAATTAAGTGTGTCTTCGTCATAATGACTGCTAATGGTTTAATCAGAACCGGTACTTTTGGATGAGTGTTTCTCCCTTAATAAATGGTCAAAGTCTTATTTCCAGCTGAGAGTTTTATGACCCTCTTCTCATAAAGTCTACCCCTCCCATGTCCCTTACGTGGTAGTTTTATCATAAGGGGTTCCATCCACCCAGCGCCAATCTCCTTCCAAATCACGATCTGATAGTCCAATCCAGGAGGTCTTCTTCACTAACCCCAGCATGAAATACTAGAATAGAAAAGATATGAAGAATGGTGATTATTATTGGATAACCAGACTTATTTGAAGAACGATTATAAATGAAACACACATATCTATATGACTTAATATAGCTAGTATGCATACTCATACCCCCAGCCAGATGTGATTATTATACTCTCTATGTAAATTGATACCCAGCCACATGTGGCTACTATACCCCTTATACATGCTGATACCATAGCCATATGTCACTGTTACACCCTCTATACATTCTGATACTCCACACAAATGTGGCAACTGCACCCTCTATACATACCAATATCCCAGAGAGATGTGGATATTCTCTTATGCATCCTAAAATCATGCTAATTGCCCGTATAAAAACATATGCTCCTATACTTTTCGGTTCATGTTCTTTCATCTACACCACGTTTAATTATTTGTTGGGTTTTGAGGGGCTGGGGTACTGTTGTTATACATGTAAGTAAGGGTAGTTTGGGCGCTGACCCCAAGAATAGGTAGTTATTACAACACATGGATCCTACCTGCTTCTCAGCATTGTTGATCACAGCCAGATGGGCTCCTTTCCTGCGACACCATTGCATGCTGTCCTGCCAACTGAGAGCAGACGAGGACAGCAAATAACAGGACATATTGAAGAGCTGCCATCCAGGGGAGCAGTAGGGACACACCATACCTGCAATAGATGGATTGATATTTTCCTAAATACACATGATTTGACTTAGACACACACTTGATACATACAGAATTATTGTTGTGAGCAATTCAAAGTGATTTTCAAAGCTGACTCACAGAATTTCCCAATCTGGCTATTTTGACCTGTACTGTGAATTCACTTTGAATTCATTCTTAATTCCTAACAAGTCACAATTTAGTGAATAATCTTGTCAGATAAAGATAAATTGTTGCCACTTGGAAGAAAAAGTAATTAAAGGAACACTATAGTATTAGGAATACAAACATGTATTCCTGACACTATAGTACTAATAGTGCAGTTTAGATCACCAGCCCGCCTTGTTTCAGGTTATATAGGTGTTTTACCTTTTTTCCAGGGCTGCCCAGGTCTCGTCGTGACTGACTCCGGACCCACTTCACTTCCTCGGCTGAAATCATGAAACTGGATGATCTCAGCCAATCCAATGCTTTTCTATAGGAAAGCATTGGAAGGCTATTGTGCATGCGCAGCAAAACGCAGTGCTGCATTAATTAGCATCTCCTCATAGAGATGTATTGAATCAATGCATCTCTATTAGGAGCGTTCAACTCCATGCAGAGTGTACAGGAAGCACTTCTAGTGGCAGTCTGAGTGCCAGACTCTTAAGGTGTTCCTAGGGAGCAATGTGAACACTGCCTTTTCTCTTTAAATGAAAATGCCTGCAGGGACATATTATACTCACCAGAACAACCACATTAAGCTGTAGTTGTTCTGGTGACTATAGGGTCCTTTTAAAGACTCCCTTCTATCTAAGGAACCAAATACTATTCATTTAAAACTACAATCTATTAAACCAAACATGTCAAACTCGCGGCCCACATTGGACCTCTTCGTGGCCTGGCGAGTTGCGAGTACATGCTTCGTGTTAAAGCAGAGAAGACACCTTTCTTAACATTGCAGGTGCCTACTCTGCTAAAACTTACCCGGCTGAGGAGGAAAGGAAGGTGGATGCAGTGAGGGAGCTCAGCCTTCCTGCTCCTCCCTGCACCCTGGCGCGCCGTCTGAAGTGATGCCGGGTGCCAGAATATGATGTCATATTCCGGCACCCGGCATCATTAAACTGCACGCGAGGGAGCAGTGAGGAGTGAGGAGTAGGAAGGCTGAGCTCCAGATAGAAGATCCCCACTGGACCCCAGGAAATTATGTTAGTGTGTGCAAAAATGTGTAAATGTGTGTGTGTGTGTCTGTCAGTGAGTGTGTGTCTGTCTGTTTGTCAGTCAGTGTGTCTGTGTCGGTTAGTGTTGCGATTGCCGCGGCTGGACAGTGGAGTACCTGGAGGTGCACGGAGTCACGCAATGCCACATCACATTCCGACGTGACGTCTACGTGCTCCACCTTCACAGGGTTTCAAGAAGTAGCGGGAGGATCCGCTTTGGCACATGGTGCGGGCGGTGCCATTTGGGGTATACCAGAGGCCGGATTCCGGAGTCACATACTGGCAGCGGCAATGTGAGTGGAGTCTGCTTGTTGGCTAGAGGGGGTGCTGGGATTTAGTATAGGGGGATGCATTTTTATTTTTTTTAATACGGTACTTTTCAAAATAAACCTACATTTCTATTTTTTCTATTTAAGTTTTTTTTTTTTTGCGGCCCACATAAACTTAAACCTTGTTTATTTGGCCTGTGCTAGACTTTGAGTTTTACATCTTTGTATTAAACAGAGGAAGAGTTTTACAAGCTTTCACCAGTTGTTTTGATAAACGCTACCCAAGCTTTCATTCTGAACTACATGACCTGGCTTGTTTTCAGGCTATACACTGCTGTACTGATTACAATATACATCTGTGGATCATCATCTACCCTTTACTTTTCATAATTTGCCTGTTTAAATGACGGCCTAAATTTCTGCTATTGGCTGCTTCCTGTCTCTCAATATAGCAGAGCATTTTTCAGGTGTGTGCTGTTCGTATGGCTCCAGCCATATTGTTTCTACTGCTTTTCTTATTACCAGTCACACAATCTCTAATGCCTACCCAACTACCAGTCACACAATCTCTAATGCCTACCCAACTACCAGTCACACAATCTCTAATCTCTAATGCCTACCCAACTACCAGTCAAATGGTCTGTACTGACTGTCCAAGTACCAGTCATACAATTTCTACTATATGTCTAACTTCAAGTCAAATGGCCTCCATTACCTGTCCAACTACCAATTGAATGGCCTACGTTGCCTGTCCAACTACAAGTTGTACAGCCTCCACTTTCGGTCTAACTGCCAGTTGCAGTGTGCCCCCTTACGGTCATAATCTCTGTGGCCTTTCCAACTACCCATTAAATGGCTTCCACCGCATGTCTCACTACTAGCAGTACATCCTTCACTTCTTGTCCAGCTACCAGACTCACAGCCTCCACAGCCTTTTAACTACCAACCATAGGTTCCACGCTCACTGGCAATCTTTGGATCCCCTTGCTTGCAGTTCTCTAGAAGGATGCTCTTGCGAGGCACAAGGAGGTGATTCTCTTTCAGGTTCGTATACTGTTCCTCCAGTAGACTAAAGTTCTCGTTTATGACCTTTAATCCCTGTTCCAGATTTTCAATTGCCTGCAGGTGTTGTGTCTGGTTGTACAGCAGCAAGGACAGAGTGTTTTCCCTCAGAAAGGTGTGTTCTTGCCATAACGAGGATAGGTTTGTGTGCAAAACGTTGCTGAGCTCCTTCTCCTCCTGTAGGAACTCCGACAAGTAACTCTGGTTCATGCGCAGCTCCTCCTCTAGGTCTCTGCTAACCCTGACATCGACCTTTAGATCTGAGCACAAAGACAGAGTAAGGGTGTAGAAGGCGGTGTTAGATACGGTGAACAAAACTTGGAATAAGGTTATATAACAAATACAATCTTGTTTAATTGGTTTGGAGTTAAAGGGAAACTATAGTCCCCTCCCCACATGGCACAGAAGGTGTTAAAAAAAACCTTCTATCACTTACCTGCGGCCAGCACCGAAGTACCTCAGTGCTGGTTCAGGTTCCACCTCTGCTCCTTCCCTGCTGACATCAGGCGGCAGGGTGACCTCATGTGCATGCGCGGCAATGGCCGCGCTTGCTTTATTATTTCCCCCATAGGAAAGAATCTATAATGCTTTCCTATGGGGTTTTGGGTGATGCTCGATGTCCTCAGTGTGAGGACATCCAGAGTCAGTTAGGCAACCAAAAGTCGTCTAAAGACCCTGAAGTCCCTCTAGTGGCTGTTTGGTAGACAGTGACTAGAGGTGGAGTTAATCTTTAAAGGTAATTATTATAGTTTATTAAAAACGGCAATAATTATCTTTACAGGGATAAGGGACCTGGGATACTTGCACTAAAAAAATCCAAAACAACTAACAAACCAATAATAAAACCATTAAGCAAACAGATGTGAAGGGTGTGAAAAGTGCTGCTATGCTAGTAGAGGTTCACTTTTCATGTCCTGCACAACAGCACCCAAGAGCTATCTACTAAAGTGTATCCTAATTTGGTATCCTCAAATAGGCAATCCCACTTCAGCATACCAAGTTAGGGAGCCATGTACTAAAAAGCTGTAAGAGCAAAAAAAATAAATTATTTTTTTCCTTAAGTTTGCTCTTTTAGATGCTTGGTAGATGAGTCCCTAATTGGGTACCCTTTATTATGGCAAACACATGTAAGGATAGTAAATTAGGGAGCTATCTACAGCTGAAAGATTAAAATTAAGAAAAAAAAAAAAGGCCCAAAAAATATTTTGCATTTTCAGTTACTTAAAGGGATACTATAGTCACAAGAAAAACTAAAAAAAGCAGTGTTTACATTGCCCCTAAAGAAAACCTCCAGTGGTCACTCCTCAGATGGCTACTAGAGGTGCTTCCTTGGGCAGTACTGCTATTCAGCATCTCCATGGAGACGCTGAACTTTCCTCATAGAGATACATTGATTCAATTGAGGAGGTGCCGATTGACCAAGCTAGCGTTTGGGCCAGCCTCCTTGCTGATTTCAGCCAATCCAATGCGGATGTCAGCAAGGAGGTGGTTCTGGGGCGCTGGAAATAAGGTAAGTTTTATTACCTTTTAAAGGAGCTAAGGGGGTGCGGGGGTTGCAAGCTACCTAAATGTTGGTTTTAACACTATAGGGTGAGGAATACATGTTTATGTTCCTGACCCTATAGTGTTCCTTTAATAGATAAAGTCCCTTATTTAGTCCTTATGAAAACAACTGGATCCAAAAGTTTTTGGATCAATTTGTTCAAAAAACATTTTTGCCAATTTTGGATGGTACCAAATCTGAAATTCGGAAACTTCCGAAATTCAGATGAAATCCGATCCGTCAGATTCCGAATGTACATGTTTAAGTAGCAAATTGAATGTTGAATTCCTGCTTTGCCTCGCTGCCATTTATGGCATTAAAACTTTGCCATAGAAAACAAAGATTTGTATCTAGAGTCAACACAGAAAATATGTTTAGATATTAATTGAGATAGGAGACAGAATCAAGAGTTAAAGCTTTATATGGGAGATATACTATAAAATGTTTATGGAAAAGGTGAACTCACAAAGTAACAGCAAAGAGACGCAGACAGTCAGTAACAGAATATTAAAAGTTAGGCTTCCAACCAACAGGCGTTGATGGGTCAATTTTAGTCCTTTTCCAATGTTCAGGCAAATGCTATAAGGCAAATAAAAACAACAAAAACCATCACAAATACAGCCTTTTTAATGCAGAAAAATGATAAAAGTACAAGAAAGAGGGACTTGGCATATAATGGAGTTATTCACAAAACAGAACCCTGTGACGAGTCAAATTGGGCACACAGCAAATGTATAAAATCGCTTGTCAAATCAATGCAGCTGGCTGCTTAGTAAAGAACTCCCAATATTTAAGAACGTATTAAACCAAGGATCCTTTTCAAGGCCAGAATGCAGACAGATCTGCATTCAATAAAGACCTCTGCCAGGCTTGTCAAAATATATATTCTTTATTAACAAGTTTACAGGAACAGTAGACTAAGACAAGATTTTAATGATGTCACAGTATTTAAAAGTTGGTTTTAACCCCTTTTTACATTGTTCAAGTAACCATGAATACACACAGTGTGGGTTAATGTATTACATTCACACAATTTGACTTGCAAAAACATGAACATCCTTATATACAGCTAACCCAACTGCAGAGGCAAGGAGAGGTAAAAAAACTCATGAACGCATCATAGTACTGATAATAGGAACAGTCTCAAGTTTACAGCTTTGTAAACATTCTTAAAAAGAAGGCACAGGGACATGTAAAACATGATTACACCATAAGATCAAACAAGTGTAAATTAAAAAAATTAATGTTGGCGGACTACAAATGCCAAATGGCTGGATGAGAATTTTGGGGATTGCAGTCCAAACAACTGATGTTTGGCATCCCTTCTTCATAAGCCTGTAATACTTCAACTGCGCATGGCAGAGTCTTCTGACCTTCAATGTGGGCAAAATAAGTATCGTACATTAACTATGTAGCATTTACACAATACACACAATACACTGTAATGAACAGAATGAGGGATGCTTGCTTGCTCTGTGCTGGGGAGAGTGCCAACAAATTCTACTTACAGGAATGTGTTCAAATGTTTTACTTCTTATAGACGTCAAACATTTGCACATATCTAATTGTGTATCTGGATAATTCACTAAAATGTGAAGTGTCAGGAAGTCAAAGGGAATTTCAAATTTTAGGTGAAATAATAATGACTTTTTCCATATTCCATTATTTGGCCTACAATTTAAAACTCCTTTTGAATTCCTGACAATTCACACTTTAGTTAATAAACCTGTATATATTTTAGGTTCCTTGTCCTGTCTAAAATTGAAATATAAAATAACCACAGGCACTCTTAGGGTATTCCCCCCCCACTACCCCCCCACCACCCGTAATGATAAAAGCTGAAGAAAAAAAACATTTGTCTCTTTGCACACCTTACCCCTTTGTGTCTCTCCTTACCGGGACTCCCCTTTTGTGGCTTTCCTTATACCCCCTTTTGTATGTGTTTTCATATTCCGATTACCAGCTGTGGGTGTCACTCCTTTCCCCCTTACCCTCTTTTGTATGCTCCCCACTTGTCCAACTGACAGGGCTGCTCCAGGCTCCTGCATTTGAGGTGAATAGAGAAATGGAGTGGCCCTGCCAGACTAGACATAGGAACATGAAGACCCTCTACCACAGACCTGCTCTCCACACTTTTCTTTCCTGTCACCTGAGAAGATTTGCCCCAAACCTGCCCATTTGTATGCAACTGATAATCACATAATCTGGGTTTATCTGAGATATATATTTAATCTATACATTGTGCAATGGAAATTTGCCAGCAAAATATACACTCTGTCTTAGAGCATAGCCAGCAAGATGTACACATAATAATGATTGGGGGCTCAATCCTATAATACGCTTCACATTGAAATGTAAACAGCTACATGAGCCAACAACATTAGACCAAAAAAGAAACACAAAGAGAGTCAAGTTGGAGAGGTGAATAAACCTTCCATGGTTTAAGCTGTGCGTCCCCTGTTAGATTGTATCCCTGTGTGGGCATTGTTTTAAGCATCAATAATTGTATTTTATTTGTAAGTTTTGTTCCCCACATAATACAGCAATGCTGTGTATGTTGGTTCTATTACCGAAACAAATAAAACATATTATTCATATTATAATATACACATTTCACATAATATATACACCTCAATATCAATGTATTTGGTCTGTTTGGACCTAAAGATGTTTGGCACAAAGAAGCACCTGATAATAGCGTCTTTAGGTGCAAACACAGCATTTAGAAAAAGTTAGCCACGCACAATTTGGATTGGCCTGTTACATCTTGGGGTGCAGTTTTGGCAAATCATATACAGAAAACACAAGATTAGGAAGTCACTCACAATGTCCTGCTAGGATCGTCATTAGAATCTGGTCTCTTATTCTCAGAGTTGCATCGTACCAGGGCTGCCAACTTCATAAACTCAAGCTGCGCGTAAATATCCATTTCCCTTCTATTGTCATTGTCTGACCTGACTGTGCCCAGCGGCAAAGTTGTGGCATTATTATCTGCCTCCCTATCCCACTGCACCATCCATGATCTTTTCTTCCTCTCTCTGTCTGCCATCTTCTGATTCAAATGACTTTTCCACATGTCCTTGGTCAATCGCTTCTTCCGTCCCTCACTGTCACTGATACACAGTTGCAACTTTACTTCGGTCATTGTTCGCCCAAAATAAACATCTCACACCCACACGTTCTGCACACAAATTCAAAATGAAGACGAAGCAGGTATTTTCCGTCAATTCCACACAAAACCTGTGAATGATTAATTGATTTTGTACAGAATAATACTGTACATTTGCCTATCATATAAAAGTTAAGGATAAAAAAAAGGGTGGGGTGACAGAGCTACCTTACTTTTCTGCTAAATCTCAGGACATAATGAATAATAACAGCCTACTATCCTTCTGGGGGAAAAAATTTAAAGTACACACATCACGTGCTCATTCTTAAAAGGCGATTTCTAAAAATTAATTTAAGCATTAGAGGAACAGGAGGCCACTTGAGACAGACCATTACAAATATACAATTTATCACAAGGTCTTTGCATAATTAGCAAAAGTCGTATGGGACAAAAAAAAGTTCATTATCTTTTTAGTTTGTGATAAGCCTTCAATGTCACAAGGACATGTGGCACTTGACACAGTCTTACATACATATTGGCACACAAAGCCAACATCCCGTCATCATTTTATAAAAGAGTTAAAATCCATAGCCAGCCACTGTATAGACTGCTATTCATCACAGGTAATAATCCAGTTTAGTGCAGACCACTTTGCAGCCCTTCACAGAGAAAACCTTTTCATCCTTAGGGTAATAAGTCATGTCATTGGCAACCTTGGAGACAATGTCTTCCTCAATAATGTAACCACGGTCCAAGATTGCTCTTCTGATACACATCTTCACATGCTGGAGCTCCAATGGTAGAAAAGGCACAAAATAATCAATGAGGTTCTGGGCAATCAGGCTGCTGTGCCAAAATCCACCTGTAGATAGAAAAGACATGTCATTACTCAATAGGTAGCAGCCTGAAGGTGCAGAATGAGAGTTAACAGTCTCACTGCTCAATTCTCTGCCATTTAGGCAATCACTTTATTTATACAACACTAGCCACACCTCCCTGTACGTGACTTGCACAGCCTTCCTAAACACTTCCTGTAAAGAGTCATTTAATGTTTACACTTTATTGCAAGTTCTGTTTAATTTAGAATGTCTTATCTCATACTCTGTTAATAGTTTGCTAGACCCTGCAGGAGCCTCCTGTGTGTGATTAAAGTTCAATTTACAGAGCAGGAAATACACATTTTAAAGTTAGATACTTTAGATTGAAAATTAAACCATTTTGTTTTCATGCAGTCTGTGTCAGTCTGAATGTGTGGCTAGGGCTGCATAAACAAAACCTAAAAAGTGAATTCACTTTTTTTTTTAAATTCTTTATTTTTTGTTGTGCATGGAAGGTACGTGGCATCAATTATTACTGTTAAGCAACAGAAATTCTTATCAACAAATTGTGAAGAAACAACACAGTATGGCTTAATCTGCATGTATCATATTTATTATTCAAGCTAGTAATATGAAGTGCTAGTGCTTGATTTTAGAAGGTTTACAGGATAAATGTGAGGTATTAGCACTGGTTAAATAATCTAAATTAGATTAGGGGCATTGTGCCCGGGAGTATTCGCATGCTTAATCTGACAGAGTAAAAAGCAAAGTAAACTAAAACAAGTTACACTAAAACAGATTGTCACTGAGATTGAGGTCATACATTTAGCTCACTCTTGTCACAGGATGACTACTGTCCCGGCTGGTAGAGGTGTATTAACCGCTGGTACATAGGTTAGTGATGACGGCATTGTGCAACAGTAAGGTAAGCTGGTGTCCATTAGTGGCATGGAGGACTCAAAATGTGGATGCTCAGTCCTCTGCCCTCAGAGAGCCTCTGGCTCAGCCAATCCTCCAGTTCGGGAAGCTCCCAGGCACCTGATGGGGCCGGCTGTATCTCCATTTTTCTCCCAGGGGGTATCAATGCTTGATGGGTGTCCCGTTTGGTAGAGTAGTTGCTCTAGTTGCTCGGGTCACTCCGGTTGCCCTGCGTTTGGTCTGGGATGCCAAAGGTAGGTTGGTAGCAAGTTCTCTTGTGCAGGTTGTGTACGGTTGCCCTCCGCCTCTTCCCAGTTTTTCGCCGCTTTGTGCTATGTCGCTTGGTGGGTCGTAGTGTGGTGGTATGTTGCCCAGCATGTACCTGGGTTCTGAGGCTCTGGGGCTTGCGAGGAGTCTTCCGAGTGTTTGTGTGGAGGAGCGGGTGCATCCCCGAGCGGATCCTGTGCCCGGAATGGGTATGATTAACAGACTTTGGTATATGCTCCCGCTTGTCTTGTGAGTTTGGGATGTAGGTTTGCGCTGTAGTCGCCTCCAGAAGGCCCTGCAGATTTGATCAAACCGGATTTCAAAGTGCAGTCTCCAGTGCTGGAGCCCTGAGTCCTCTTGGGCGCTTTGCTGTCCAACTGCAGTGTACACCTGTGACAGGTGAGTGCAATTCTCCAACGGGACCGGGATAACCCCCACCTGTCCATGGGGGAGGGTGGGTAGCATGGGAACAGAAGAGCTGCAGTGCGGAGCTGTCCCTGCGTCGGGAGATCGGCCGCCTCTCCCGGCAAACAGGATGCTGTCCATGTTAGGCCTCGAATGCAGATCCCGGCAGACCGGCGTCCGTAGCTTTGGGTTTGATATCAAACTGTTTAGTTTGGCTTCATTTACCTGCCGGTAGTATTTTTTTATCACGTTTCTGGGCTAATTTGTGCCTTTTGGTCGATTAATTGTTTATGTAGAACAAGAGCTGTGCTTGCATGCGTCTGCTCGGCTCTGCGTTCAGGCCCCGCCCCCCATGAATTCACTTTTAAATTAGAATTGAGCAGAGAAAATAGAGAGGCATGATCTATACACAAAATCTGCATCATTAAGCTAAAGTTGTTTTGGTGACTATAGTGTCCCTTGAACACAGGAAATGATTCAGTCAATCAAGACACTCACTTAAAGGGTTACTCCACCCAAAAACTAGTATTTTCATAAAACATTGATTTTGGTTAGAGTAACCCTTCCTGCCTAACTCAAGTTCCATTGTCAATACCAAGTTCTCCCCTCAGCCTGATACTCCTTGGCTGATGTATCATCAGAGACATCAGAGATGAACTTATCAGGGGGACTTAGCTGTGAATGCCCTGGAACAATTTTCGTCATGAAAACCTCGCTTTTCCCGGTCGGTCCTCCAGCGGCACTTAGCCGCAATTCTAATGGTACTATTTTGAGCATAGAACCATGCCTGCGCTTGGGCAAAACTATGACTTCCATAAAATTTCTGAACCCCTGATCTGATCTGGGTGATTTTTGGATATGTTGTTCACCCAGATCAGGGCTATCAGGGATGTATTTATGGGGATATGTTGTGTTTTGGGGTACTTATGGGACTTTATAAAAAAAATGTTTTTTCTGCCTGGAGATAATGGAGTTACATCAATTATTTCCCATGCAGAGGGGAGGGATTGTTTGCTGTGTGTGGGAGTATTGTATATTTAATTACTGTTCTGATTGGTTTGTCAGCTTTGTGTCCCTTACCCCCACAAGATCCATGTGGGCGTATACCTTGCTTGGGGATTTGCATAAAATGCCAGCTGTGGCTTCCATTAAGCACACTTGTTTTACCCTTCATGAAGTCTAGGCTCATGTTTGTGGGATTGGAGAACTACACTCTGGGGATTGCTATAATCACTATACTCCCCTGAGTATAATCACTAAGCTCTTGTAAGAGCTGTTCCTGCTACGCTCTCTGGACTAGGAGAGGTCTACCTACTGGAAGCTGGATTCTGGTCTTGGGTACAGGATGGGTGGAGGACAGAGAGACCCCAACCAAGCTTCGGCGGTTCATGGGGTTTACAGTAGTTATGGTGTTCAAGTGCAGTGCTGATGGTACTCGCAAGTACTAGGAAGCAGCGATTGACAGAGGTACTCTGTCTGGGTGCCAGGCAATCCGCCACACTGGGTTCCTATGAAATTCTAGCATCCCCAGCTTGGGGTATCCTTATATCTACAAGTATGAGCAATACTACAGTATTCCAAACATGATTTTGACTTTTGCTTTAATGACAGCTTGATGAAAAAAATATGTTTTAGAAGAAAATACACACACAATCTCATCTAGATGCTCTACGCCCTTACTCACCATCTTTCTTATTAAATGCAGCAAGAGACAGATGATGTTCCACATCAGACATTTTAATATCTTCTCTCTGCTTCCCCGCTTTCCTGAAGTCCAAAGCCAGTCCCAAAATGACTTCTCCTCCTGTGTTACTGAAAGAGGCCAACAATATTGTTACAGGTAGTCAAACTTAACATTTGGCATTAAATATGCACTCATCCTCAATTGTTTTTAGTTTTAACCATAAAGATGATTTAAAAACAAAGAAAAGGGGGGCAGGGCCTGACTCGCAATCTGAACGGTCACTTGGCAGAGGAGCTCCCAGCGCCAAAGTGAATTTTGGGAAAATGCCCGCTGATTTGATGCCAAAAAAGATGCCGGGGTACGCTACCCAAGCTAGGGGCACCCTGGTGAATCGCCTGATACCAGACACAAGCATTTCCCACATGCACAAACCTGAAGTGGCCCATGGCGACTTGCGGTGGACGGGGATGGGGGGGGCGGCCGCTCTCCTCACCTCCAAGCCAGGGGTGCTGAGCCACTGATCGCCCGCTCTCCCCCCTCAGGACCGGTGGGGGTGATCCCGGTCCAACCTCGCCAGACAGCTTGGCAAACGCAGATGCAGAAAACAGGGCCCCACAAGCAACTCCTGGCCACACAGGCCCACAAAATGGCGGACACCATGTGCAACCACAATGGCGTCAGAGAGGGGACCGACATCCTGACACGGCTGGACGCCATCTTCGATGCCTTTTGGGCAAAACTGGCACACAGAGAGCGGCAGGGCAACATGCCAGCGAATCTACCCATAAAGAGACCCACACGTACCAGCCATAGCCGCGTTGTCTCCCGCCCGAAGGTAACCGCAAGATGGCGCCACCGCCATCGACGGAGACTTCTCCCGCCCGTTCGTAAGAGACTGAAACAAGCGGTGATGGCAGCCTGCAGGGACATACAGGCTCCAACCAAACCCCACATGAAACCAAGACACGTTAAGCAACCTCCGAGAGGTAGGCCCCCATCACGACACCAGAACCTGCCAACAACACGGGGAGATCCAGCGTACAAAACACCAACTACCTGCAACGCAACTACAGGTACCTATGGCAATAGGAGAACGGGCCCGACACCGGAACTAACACAGCAGAACTGTGCCCTACCCCAGAAGGACTTACATACCCAGCTAAAGCACTTGCACCTCTGCAGCCTCCCATTGCAGGGCATCGGCTAAGCAGCATACAGAGATGACCGCAACAGCCAAGGGACACACGCAGTATCCACACCACATGGTGCCCTATAAACATACAGGGACATATTAAAGAAATATTGCTTTACTCAACCCTGAAATAGACATGCTTAAGAATAGCCTGTTAAGTACATAGAAATGTGCCCTGCAATCACAGCTAGTGTTATAGTTCACACTATTGAACCTGTTTTCACCTTGTTTAATTTTTACGTGCCAGACTTAGCCAGGAATGTTTAGCCTGCACCAAACTTAGTGAGCCATGTAGAGACGGCTCCATACTCTCGAAACATTTATATGACAAGCGACATTTTATTATTGTTGGTGTTTTTGTTTTTTTTGTTCATGCCTAGTCCGCCTCTCAGAGTTACCAAAACATGATCCACAGCTCAGACATGAGGAACTAGCCTGTGCTCCCTGGTTACCTATTTTAATCGTATTACACCCAGCGTAGCACATTTAAACTTACATTGACGGCATGACCGCTCATAGCCAGACACTGCGATAGAAGTGTTTAGCTCAGTTATGTAATTTTATGTCCTAGCCTGCTTTATTGTTATAGTGCCCACTTGACGAAGCTGGTCTGTCAGCCAGGAAAGTCGCCTTTTGTTTTTATGAAGCCCGAGAGAAAACCTTGTTTACTTATCTGTTTAAAAAATGTGTGTAGTACCTCTATATTCCACAAACCTGTTTAAACGATGTTACCCACTCTACTTGTTATTGCTGTTGTGGCACAACAAGTGACTGTATTAACTGAATGCACCAAAAAATAAAGAATTATAAAAACAAAGAAAAATATTATAAAATGTGCAGCCTGGTTATTCATTTGTAAATTGCAGAGATGTTCTACATCACAGTATCTAGTTTCGAAATCAAAGTAATTAACCCTTAACCCTATGTGAGAGATATCCTCACTTGTATATTATACAAATATATAACCCTCCCCCCACCCCAGATTCATATTTTACTTAAAGGGACACTATAGTCACCTGAACAACTTTAGCTTAATGAAACAGTTTTGGTGTATAGAACATGCCCCTGTAGCCTCACTGCTCAATCCTCTGCCATTTAGGAGTTAAATCCCTTTGTTTATGAACCCTAGTCACACCTCCCTGCATGTGACTTGCACAGCCTTCCATAAACACTTCCTTTAAAGAGAGCCCTATTTAGGCTTTCTTTATTGCAAGTTCTGTTTAATTAAGATTTTCTTATCCCCTACTATGTTAATAGCTTGCAAGATCCTGCAATAGCCTCCTGTATGTGATTAAAGTTCATATTAGAGATTGAGATACATTTAATTAAGGTAAATTACAGCTGTTTGAAAGTGAAACCAGGTTTTTTTTCATGCAGGCTCTGTCAATCATAGCCAGGGAAGGTGTGGCTAGGGCTGCATAAACAGAAATAAAGTGATTTAACTCCTAAATGACAGTGAATTGAGCAGTGAAATTGCAGGGGAATGATCTATACACTAAAACTGCTTCATTAAGCTAAAGTAATTTAGGTGACTATAGTGTTCCTTTAATAGTCCCCACCTGTCACCATGAGTGGGGGCTGAGGAAGATTAGGTCCCCCCCCGCATTATTATAACCTGCTGCTCAAGTGGGGACAGACTCTAGGTCCCCCTCATTCATTTTATTTATTAGCCTCTACCCGCTGGCCACACAGGGGACATTATGCCCCCCTCCCAACCTTACCCCAATTAGATTTGTGTGCTGTATATCTAATCTGATGTCACTTCAACTCCTGTGTCATAACTCAATATTAAATTGCATGTGTTTTGCTCAGAAATGCTTTAGATTCGATAAAGAGCTGTCGCCCACAGACTACTTCCAAATTTCTGTTCGTCCAATAAAAAGAAGTATTACAAAATACTAAGATTATCTATTATTTTACTCCTGGATAGTATTAAAACTAAAGCAGTAGTCACCAAAAAGGCAACAAAGTTGAAAATCTAGTTTCAGTTTCGTCTTCTTTTAAATTGCAGGAACTTAGAGTAAAACAAGTCTTTTTGTTCTTGACAACTGTAGGGAAATACCACAAGTTATTATCACAGATAGGCTTCTTAAAGGAACACTCCAGTGCCCAAACAAAAAATAAATAAAAATCACTGTTTAGTATATGTACAACAAATGAAAACTTACATGCCTTTATTCATGCATTTTTTCATTGGAGTCAGATCTTAAAACATCTTGCAAAACATGCAGTTCTCTTGGCTACAGCACCATGCAAGCCCTCCCTTTCTAAATCCTTCCAGAGTTTCTGAGTCTGTCCAATCACAGACTTCCCAATCCAGCTCAATAAGGAGGTGCTCTTGGCAATTGCGGTCTCTTGAGTTTAGTTTCATGGAGCTAACACAACCAGGAAGTAACTGGACCTGTTATCTAATTGACAGCCAGGGGGAAGCAACCAAGTTAATTTATAAAAGTGTTAAATGAAACATAAAAGTGAAGAAGAAGTATAGTTATACACTCATCCTGTCATCTAGATTGGGTGTACTAATGTAAAAACAAAAAAACAAAGACAAAATAAAACATACAAGAGAAAACAAAGAAATCACTCTATATAGTGTAATGCCGCATGTGTAACCAATATCACAACCTAATACCTATGAGTATATAGCGCATACTAACTACTGGCTCAAATACGTATGAGTGTACTTTTATCAGATTCTAGGCCTGGTCATTGGGCAAACCGTGCAAATGCCCAGTTGGCTGCAACGGCCACGGGCCGAGGCCAACAGGGGAGATCATAAAATCTCCCCTGACAGCCCAGGCAGAGGCGTTGCTATCAAAGCGCCGACCTTGATGTGTGCATTCGCAGGCCAGTGGGTAGATCAAAAATCTCCCTCACTGACCCACTGGCACTAGAGTAAAGAGAGGAGGCTGAACGTTCCTCCCGCAAGCCAGCAGATCTGAACATTGCCGCGAGTTACTACAGCAATGGTCGAACAGCACAGAGCCAGATCTTGTAATAGAAGTGATCTTAAAAAAATAAAATGAGAAAATAAATAGATATATAGACAGTTTTGCTTGTAATCTATGAGCCAGCTAAAAAGGTTAGGAGCCATGCTTTTCAACGTCAAAAATACAATTCTTAAAAGGGACACTACAGTCATTAGAACCATTACAGCTTAATGTAGTTGTTCTGGTGTCTGGTGCTTTTCAATGTAAACACTGTCTTTTTGGATAAAACGGTTTACATTGTTGCCTAGTAACATCTTTAGTGACAGTCACTCAGACGGCCACTAGAGGTGCTTCCTGGGTCCATGCTGCAGTATGCATCACCTACTTAGAGCTCCCTATAGGTAAACATTAATTTGAGTTGATTGGCACAGCGTGGTGTTGTGCTGCGCATGTGCAATAGTCTCCTAATGCTTTCCTATCAGGAATCATTGGATTGGCTGAGATCTTCAAGATTGATCTCAGCCATGGAGGTGGGGCCAGCAGCGCCACCAGCATGGCGTGAGAAAAAAAGGTGACACTGACAGACACTCACTGATACTGCAACACTCACAAATTATTATTATTTTTTTTTAATGTGTCCACCCAGCCTCCCTACCTTTGGGATAGTTGGAGCGGTTCAGCTTCCCCTGGGGTCCAGTGGGGCTGCTGTCATCTCCCTGCTCTGCTCCCTACTGTGCTGTTAAGTAATGCAGGGCTGGAGTTACATCATATTCCGGCCCCCGGCATCACAGGAGGGTGTGCGAGGGAGCAGAGCAGGGAGATGGCAACTCCTTCACTGCCTCAGCAATCAGCCGCCCACCTCCCTCACCTATCCGTGAGCTAGTTGCCTGCCTCCATCAGCTCTTCATGAACCAGCCGCACACCTGCCTGCCTGTCTCCACTCGACTTGAAATGAACAGGCTCACAAATCATAGACACACACACACACACATATATATATATATATATATATATATACACATACACACACACACACACACACACAAATAGATTTCACCCACCCCACACACAATTTACAGCCTCTACCAACCAACACAGTCACACACAGCACCCCTACATACACATATTAGGTCCCCTATAGACACTTAATCCCTGATACACATACTGCACCATCTATACATACTAGATACCCTATATGCCAACACAAATATTCTGCAGCCCCAATACACACTACGTCACCTATACACACACACTACAGCTCCTATACACACATAAATACACTACAGCCCCTATGCACACACTCACTGCATCCCCTGCTCCTTTTGTCCTCTGGTATCCCACTTTTGGAGACACCAGAGGCAAGTCACAAGCAAACGCAGCGTAAGCATGTCATTCAATTCACTTTTGCTGCACAGTATAAATACAGGGCTTTTGTTCTCGTGCATGGGTTATATGGGAATTAAACTAATATGCCAATATTTTCACTTTGAGGGGGGTGTGCTTGTCATTGGTGATGAAATAACACCCTCTCTCTCTGTCCCTGCCCCCTTCTCACTGGGCTGCTGTGATTGAAAATAAGATTTTAAAAATCAGTCTCCTGAAATCTAGGGCATATATAGAACTGATGTGTCAAAATCATTATATTGGACCATTCCTGGTCTGTAAAGGACATCTGCAAAAGTAGTCCTCAAATGTAGTCAGTCGTCTGTGTAAGTTCACATGAGGAGTAAGTGATCTATAAAATGGAAGACTGTGATGAGCTGACAAACACAGAGTTGAAAGAAATGTTTAGCTCTGTTAATTTGAAAAAGTTGATGGTCAACTAAATATTTAGCAAATAAACTTGTGGATCTCAAAGATTGAATCTGAGTAAAACTGTGCCTAATGTTCTTCTTGACGGCTGTAAGTGGCTCTGCATTAGCTGTATGAAAATATAGGAAATCGTTTTCTTTGGTAATGAATAGTCAGTTTCTACATTCCAAAAAAAGTCAGCAGCAATATTTTGTTACAGGTTTTTTTCCATAAGCATGGAGGGTTCAGCAGTAAGCAATACAGTTACTGTTTTATTATTAATATAGAATGTTATAAGAACTGGTTTGTTTTTAGTTAAAGAAAAACTCCAAGGCCCATATCTACTACAGCACGCCCTAGTGTCCCAAACCCCCCAGTGACGGATTTGAGTGTTTTTTCAACCTAGATTACTGTGTAACTATCTCACCTCAGGTTTGCAGCTACCTGCCTCGATTACAGTCTTCAAAGAGCAGGAAGATCTCTTTCTGAGCGGAGCCCGGAGGAACAGGGTTTATCTTACTGGCTGAGAGTGATCGGTGGATGTTCTCAGCCAATGAGGTAGCTCTGCACAGCAAGGCTTAGCTCAGGACAGCTAACAAAATCTAAGGTATGGTGTTTTTAGTGCCCCTTTAAAGCTGCTGTCACCTACAGGATCTTTGCATTTCCACTTTTGGCAAGTTTTGTTGAAATTACAATACTCAGAAATTATTTTGGTGACCGATCCATCTCAGCAGTGCAAAATAAATATGCTCCTTACCTCAGGAAGATGAAAATAGCTTTGCGATAATCTACACCTTCTATATGTTCGTAGTAGTCCAAATATGGTTTAATGGCATCAATGAGTTCCGGTTGCATTTTATCCACCTCGTCAAATATGAACACGGAGCGTTCACAAGCCGATACGTTTCTTTTGATCCATGTCTGTAGCTGGTCCTATAAAAACAAAACAAAATATATGTACAGGTATAATTTTTATGTCAAACATATAAGATTGATACAATGCTACAATCTCTGATAGAGACAACAATGTAGCACACACTGACACAAGGGTGCACCTCTACACTCAAAATAGAAACATGCGCTAGGCAAAAATAACCAGGTTGTGCCTAACAAAAGATATAAGAGGATATCATATACATTCAACCAATATCTGGTGATTATCAATACCAAGGGGTATTAAATGTCCAAATCTTCTCAGAATAATCTGAAGTCATTTTAAAATGTTAAGATAATTAATGTTCACTCAAAATTTTTTTACCATCCACACATCCTTAGACAGGGATTATACTGCTGCACGCTGTGTTCCCTGAGCTTGTTCAAGCTCCACATTTATGTTTGTATTTTTGATAGAGATAGATATCTATGAGTACCATTAAATTGGGTAATAGTAAAAAACCCTGGATGTTGGGCTAAGGTAACATCCCCAGGACGTCCTTGAAAACCAGAGTAATCTGAATGTACCTTTTCTGGTTAAACTTTGTTATTATTATATATAATCTTTAATTACATGTTTATACTATTGGAGATTTTTGTTTGTTCTCTCTCATTGTATATGTATAATCACATATGGAAACACTGAGGACACGAACAAGTATCATATCGTTTCACTGTATGCTGGTATTTCTAGAGCTTGTATGAAGCTCGATTATATGTGCGTGCCCATGTTTAGCCCTCTGGTTCTTCTTTTCTGTGATCTTAGTTATTTCAGAAAGAGTTAAAGAGAGGATGACCTCTACTGGTGACTTGCTGGAACTACTTCCAGAGAAATAGAGTAGCATTATATGTTTTTGACTAATTTGACCTCGAATAGATACTGAATCACAAGATTGAAATTCATGAATTCTTTGTATTCAAAATTTGATTGAAACTTAGTAATTTGTGTAAAAATACTTACCTTTTTTGACAAATATTGGTTCCAATTGCCCTTTTAAGGTGTTATAATTACAAGTTACATCTTATTCTGTCCATAGCCGTTGGTTTTTCTGTTCTTTTTTGTGCAATACCATACATACTACTCGCCTCGGTCCTTGTTGTCTCTTTTTATTGCATATGACCACTAAGGATCTTTACATCTTAAAAATATCAAGATTATTCTGGTGAAGATATGGACATTTATTACTACCGAACACTGATTTTATGTCAAGACACGTATTGCTTAATCCTTTCTTTAATGTCCACTAATAGCAGCAAAGAATACAAATGGTAAGAATAAATGGCAACCATAGTGATAGGCCACTCCCATACCAAGTCCCAGTATAATAGTCAGCACCTCCCCACATATTTCCTCTTTCTTTGCTGCTCCACACAAAGATAAGTACATGACTATTTTTTTCTTACCTATACTTTCTTTTTATTATTATTATTATTATCTATTATTTATATTGTTCTTAGTTTTGAAGATATTATTTTTGCTTTATTTCCTTATATTATAACAGATTTTTTCTTCTGTTTATTACTTCTATTATTTTTGTGTATTATGCCTATGCTTGTTACCTTTGAGCCCAGGGTTCCAGACCTTCTTTGGGGGCTTATTCTTTGTTTCCCTCGCCCTTGAGCTTTCCTTTGTTGCTCTTATCTCTTTTCCGTTTCACTATCTCCTTATCTCTGCCTTTTGGCTCCATTTCTCCTTTCTCCCTGTCTGTTTGGCGCCTTTTGCGTCTGTTTCTCCATATCTGTTTGGCTGTTTTCGTGTATGAATCAAGCCCGTTCGGTTAAATTTATCACGGACCCATGCCGTTCGTTAGTTTTACTGGCATATAGCATCATTCGTCTGTTTGCCGCATTCGACTTTTACACGAATGGGCTGTTTCCTATTTATTTCATTCGTTTGTTTGTTCCCACGAATTCGTCTCTTTTTTTACCGAACGTTCGGTTCTTTAACTAGACGAATTCAAGGGATTTTTCGCCACGAATCTTGCGAGACTGCCGGCGGCCTGCTGGCATCCTGTCCATCTGGCTCTGTTCTCTGCTTCGTGTCTCTTCCTGTATGGCAGTCTGGGCCCAGGTGAGCTCTGTATCTCTACCCTCTTTAAAAGGTTAATATCTAGTTTGGAGTGATTAACTCCTGCTAGCCTGTTCTGTTTATTTATTTTAGTCTATAACTGTTTTCAGTAACGTATTTTGTTGGGGGAATCTCACAGCATTAATATGCCCAAATCTAAGGTGCCTGCAAGCCCCCCTTTCCCCTGGTGAGATGGACATACCCAAGGTTTTGGGTAACCCCTCTTCCAGCTCTAATTCCCCTACGTCTGCATTGGATCCTATGTCTGTGCCTGAGGAGACCCAATCCCTGGCGCTACAGCGTACAGTCACTGACGCCATTATGGCTACTATGGGCTCTATGTCCTCAACCCTCTCCCAGACCATCTCCCAGGCCTTACATGCGCACCCACTGGCTGCAGAAAGTTCAGCCACACCAACGCACATAAAGCGTCCTGGTCCAGGGGACGCACCTAAAAAGACTACCGCCAAATACAGGCACTTACGTCCCCCTGCCTCCAGAACCAATATGACGGGTGCACCCGTGACCACCCATAATAGCGGGCCCACGTCACGCAAAAGAGCCTTTCCGCGCAGAACAGGTGTGGCAGTGGAAATGTGCTAGAGCACAACATGAGAGCGACTCAAACTCAGAAATCGGGTCTAGTGAGGAGGCTGATGCTGAGTCCGTGTGTGACTCTGACAATGAGGTATGCGGGCAGGACACTGATCCTTTTGTCCCTGCTCAGTCGGGGGTGGCTTTGAGTGGCTCTCGGAACGACGCTCCCGCTACTGCGGGCTCCACCCTCATGGATCCGTCTGGGGAACCCATGTTTGAGCCGGATGCTCTCCGTCATCCAAGGTCGGCTGAATGGCTCCCAGCGGACCATATGGCACGATACCTAGAGAATTGGGTACGGCGCCCCCTCAGTAAGGCGGTGCGTCATAAGCTCAGGGCAGAATGCCCAAGACCTCTGGTACCTGGTAAAGTCTGTGAGATGGCGAAGTTAGATCTGAAGGATGCATACCTGATGGTCCCAGTGGCCGAGACATCCAGGGACTTATTACGCTTTCTCTGGAAAGGCGACACCTGGCGCTTCACATGCCTTCCCTTTGGACTTTCGGCAGCTCCTTGGTGCTTCACAAAATTGATGCGCCCTGCCATGGCTTGGTTGCGCAGTCGAGTTCGGCTGATAGTCTACTTGGACGACATCCTCATCATGGCACAGGAGTGTTCCGTCTTCCTAAAGCATCTGCAATGGACGATAGACCTCCTCTCTTTCCTGGGTTTCCTCCTCAACTGGGAAACATCCTGCCTGTCCCCTTCGCAACGCATGGAGCTCCTCGGGTTCACCGTAGACTCCGAAGCGGAATCATTCAGCCTCCCTTTGTCCAAGATTTGGGCCATACGCAAGGAACTGCGCCATGCTCTAACGCGCCCCCAGTTAACGCTGCGCCATCTGGCATGGATCATTGGCCTACTGACATAATTGATCCAGGTGGTGTTCCCAGCCCTTCTCCACTACCGTGAACTCAAACGACTGAAGATTAAACACCTTCGCAGTGGGGCGTCCTATGCGGACATGGTCTCTCTGGACTCTGAAACTGGGGACGAGTTGACCTGGTGGATCCTCTCAGCTTGGAATGGCAAGGCCATCTTCGATTCTCAACTGGCGTTCACAGTGGATTCAGACGCAAGTCTCCATGGTTGGGGTGCCCACTGCAACGGTGTGACTACTGGGGGTCGCTGGTCGGACGATGAATCCCGTCTCCACATCAATGCTCTGGAGCTCCGGAGCTTTGCGAATGGGACTGCCAGCGCATGCATTTGGCTGCGCATGGACAACATCTTCGCAGTCCGCTATTCTGGCCTGCTTGGCGAAGGACTTTTGGGTTTATTGCTTGGTCAGGAATCTGGTCGTCCAGGCGGAATACCTCCCTGGACTCCACAAAACTCATGCGGACTGGATTTCACGCTGTCGGACAGCAGCAATTGGAAATTGGATGTACGGGTGTTCTCCGCTATCTCGTCTCTCTGGGGACCTTTTGCCATTGACCTCTTCGCATCCCGGCTTAATTCCCAATTACCTCGGTTCTATAGCTGGTGCCCAGATCTGGCCGTGAAGGCAGTAGACGCCTTCCTGCAAGATTGGACCGGCTCAATCCTTTATGCTTTTCCTCAGTTTGTCATGATCCCTCAGGTCCTGCTCCAAGTTCGCCGCCAAATGGCTGACCTGATCCTGCTGAGTCCGTTCTGGGGGACCCAATCATGGTTCCCACAGCTCCTGGAACTGGCGATGGATGTGCCCAGACTGCTCCCATCCTACCAGGACATCCTTCTGAACCCGTCAGGCCGACAACACCCCCTCCTGTCGGACGGGTCGTTGCTGCTGCTCGTGTGGAGGATTTCCAGGGTCCCTGGGAAATGCAAGGGGTTTCGGTTGCAACTAGACAATCATATGGGACAGCTTGGAGAGCTTGGGCTGGTTGGTGCCTAGCTCGAAACATGGATCCTGTTTCGGCACCTGTGACTGCGATCCTCCAGTTTCTCACTTCGTTATTTGAGGCTGGTCGGGCGTATTGCACGATTAACGTGTACAGATCGGCCATTTCCTCGGCTCATCAGGGCTTTGACGGCTACCCTTTGGTGTGCCGCTTGGTTTGGGGATCGCGCCTGTCGCGCCGTCCTAGGCCTCGGTACTCTGCTACTTGGGACGTCTCCTGCATTTTGTCGCTTTTTACTTCCTGGCCTCCCAATTCGGATCTCTCCCTATGACAGTTGTCGGCCAAGTTGGTCTCCCTTTTTTGCCTCATTTCATGCAAACGGGTTTCGGATGTCCGTGCCCTGGACTATGATGCTAGGTCTTTCACTCCGGACGGGGTGTCATTTAACATCTCCAGACCCACTAAGACGGCTATTCGGTCGGTTTCGTATCCGAGTTTTTCCTGTTACCCCGGCGTTGTGTCCGGTAATGTGAGCTTCGGACGTGTGCACATTGTTCGGTTCCGTCCCCTCGGCTTTTCCTCTTGGTTTGTCAACCTTTTTCCCCTGTGTCCAGTACTACCTTGGCTTGCTGGGTGAAATGGGTAATGTCACTGGCTGGTGTGGATACGTTCATCTTTAGCGCCCATTCCTCCAGGGGGATCAGCCACATCTATGGTGGCTTCGGGGGCGCATCTGGAAGACCTGATGAGGATGGCGGACTGGTCCTGCGAATCCACTTTTCGCGAGTTTTACTTACGGCCTACGCCTCACATTTTTTCTTCTAATTATTGATCAGCTTTAAACTTGCAATATGTGCCTCCGTATCTTGACGTAAAATTACATGATTTTGCTATTTCATGACGAAAAGTCATGATTTTATGAAAGACACGGAGGCGAGTATTGTCCCACCGTTTTACGTTTCTTTCATTTGATTATCCCTCCCTGTTGTTTTCTCTCTCAGGTATGTTTCCAGGGGATGGTAGGTATATGTGACGCGCTCTGTGTTTATAGTACCTCTTATGTTCATCCGACCTGATCATGTTATTTTTGTTTTGTCTGGTGGGTTTTGTCTTACGTTATGGGCACTGTGTTGCTTCTGTTTATCAATACGTTCTGTCAAGTACCGATTTAACCGTTCAGCTCCTGTTTTTTTATGTTTTCACAGGTGGATTCTGTGCTGTTTGGGGATCTTCACTACTTCCCACAAGGCTTCACCACGTTGGCTGGAGGTCTATGGATTGTTCTGTGATGGGCTCCTCACTGTTTGCGTTTCTATTCGTTGATGGATTGGTCCCAGTTCGTTTATGGTTCCTGATCGGAGTCCAGCTGGATTTCGGGATGGTTGTTCTGCTGTGGTTGGACTGGTTCATCGGTTCCTGTTTGGTGGTTATTGTGTCGCATCTCTAAAGAAAGAGGAAATATGTGGGGAGGTGCTGACTATTATACTGGGACTTGGTATGGGAGTGGCCTATTACTATGGTTACCATTTTTTTCTTACTGTTTGTATTCTTTGCTGCTATTGGTGGACAGTAAAGAAATGGTTAAGCAATACTCACCTCCGTGTCTTTCATAAAATCATAACTTTTCGTCATGAAATAGCAAAATCATGTAATTATAACTACATACTGTTTGTAGTATCTTTTATCTTTTGTTAGGCATAACCTAGTTATTTTTGTCTATCGCATTATTGTTTTTGTATTGTCTAGCTGGGAACGGACTGTTCTTTGTTTGGTAAAATGGAAATCAAAACAGGAAAAGAAGAACAGCATGTCAATTCTTCAGGATCAATACAATTAGACATAATAATCTAAGTCGTAAAGTAACACAGTGGGTCTATTCAGCAACTTCACAAAAACCCCAACTTAGGACGCTCGTTCATGTGTGCACTTGGAAAATATAAACTTGGATACACTAAACCAGTAAATATGGAGAATTGACAGAGTAATTGCAAATGCAACTATTAGGATTCAAAATAGCCAAGCTTCGGAGAATAACTATAGGTATAAGAAGAGGGGGGAAGATTACCCCGTACCCAGGTAATTTTGTGAGTGGGATAAAATGGGTAATATACCCTGATTTATTCAAGCCCAGCCTCACCACTCAGTGTGCAAGACATGACATGATCTCTAACTCGTCTAAATCTACTGAACACTTCCCGCTGCTGCACTCAAATCTGTGCTGAAACTGGGCTAGAGAAAAAATGTAAGGCCACATTACTACACACTGGGGGTCACAGAGAGATGAGGAACAAAAAAATAAAATAAAAAGAACCCTAAAAAGACACACAAGGCTGGAGGACAAAAAAAAAGCTGGGGAGTGGGGACATTTAAAGCTGAGAGGCATAAAATGCTGTGGGACAGTTTAGAAAAAAATGTAAAAAATAAAAAAAATAAAAATCGACCTTGTTGGTCCTCACAGGGGGCTCCCTGGTGCCATTGGGTCAATGCACTTTGGTCTTACCCAGTTTGACTCCACCACTCGTGTTACTGTTAACCGAGGAGTATATTTCTCCTTGCATGGCGACGCATGATAATAGCCAGATTACAGTTTTAACTGCTTTATATATGGGTACCTGCGTGTACTAATCTATACCTACCGAGACCTGCGAGTCTCACACTACCTTTATAGGGACCTGCGAGTGTTAACTGACCACTGCACTACTTGACCTTTCTGGGTCCCTGCACGTACCACTACACGGTTGATCTATAGATGTAATTTTGATAGCAATAATCTGGTTTATCACAAACTACTAAAACAAAATTTTACAATAAACAGAAATTTACAAAAAAATAAAAAAAGTTTAGAAAAAAAGACAAAGTTGGGGGTCACAGACACAACAATGAAGATTTTTAAAAATAGGGGAGAGGCATTTTTTGCCTAAAGTTTGAAATTTTGTTTTCAGTACATTACAATTTACCATTTAGTAAATAAACCTATCACTAATACAGTATTGTGTGTTTGGTATATATGTGGTATTTATGCTCCTCATTTGTACAGAGCTACGGAATTGTTGACGCTTTATAGTTATGTAAAACAGTATGCATGCTTTGATTTGTGTGCTATCTCAGCAGTAGAGGGGAGGGGGGCAAGCAAGCAATGTGTCAGATTTCAAGTGGACAAAGAGGGATTCTTTGATTTTTGGGGTGTAAGGAAGTAGCCAGGGGCGAGGCTCTTCTGAGAGGTTTTAGGTGACTTACTAATAATTTATGCAACTAAAATGTAATTTAGATCAAGAACAATATATATTATTTACACAGACATCTCAAAACATGTTTATTGTAATTTAAAAACACATTACTGGGAGTGTTATTGCTGTGGAGCTCTGTTATACACTCAGACACACCAACAATATGCAGCTTCTAGAAAAGAGGGAAAGAGGTTTTTGGGCACAAAACAAGTTGTCCCTCTTTAATTTCAAGTTTGGCTATTTTGTCCTAGAATTTGAAATCCCCTTGCCAATTTGCTACAGTTTAGAGAATAACCCTTGTGCTTCCAATTCCTGCTTATTAATTCTATATTTATCATGTTGTAAGACATTTTGTTCTTAGCACAGGCTTGCTACCGTGAATATAAACACAGATTCTGTTCAATACCTTATACATATCGAGATGTTGAACGTGGGGAAAATGCAGTGTGGCTACAAATTGATGCACAAATTTGCTCTTCAGTCCATCAGGATAAATATGTTGGGCTATGATCTGACTGATATAGTTCTTCCCGGTGCCTGTCAAGCCATGGAAGGACAACACAAGTGGCTTTTTAGGGTGCTTATTCTTGAGGAAACCAGGTAACACTTTTAGGGTGGTGATCTTGGCCAGGTGCTGCCCAAATAGTTTGCTTTCAAAGTCCCACTGCATAGCTGAGGGAAGGAAGAACACAAAATAACTCATCAGAACAGGTTTCCAGTTTCAGAACACTGCAGAATAGAGAATATTTACATCAGTGATTATTGGCAGTATGACATTGAAACCGCTGACTGAGCATCATTAGCAATGAAGTCTCCAACAGTTGGAGTAAAAAGGATGAGCCATTTTGGGGGTTCAAAACACATCATACATTAAAGGAACACTATAGTCACCTAAATTACTTTAGCTAAATAAAGCAGTTTTAGTGTATAGATCTTTCCCCTGCAATTTCACTGCTCAATTCACTGTCATTTAGGAGTTAAATCACTTTGTTTCTGTTTATGCAGCCCTAGCCACACCTCCCCGGCTATGATTGACAGAGACTGCATTGAAAAAAAAAAAAACTGGTTTCACTTTCAAACAGATGTAATTTACCTTAAATAATTGTATCTCTTTCTTTGTAAATTGAACTTTAATCACATACAGGAGGCTCTTGCAAGGTCTAGCAAGCTATTAACAAAGCAGGGGATAAGAAAATCTTAATTAAACAGAACTTGCAATAAAGAAAGCCTAAATAGGGCTCTCTTTACAGGAAGTGTTTATGGAAGGCTGTGCAAGTCACATGCAGGGAGGTGTGACTAGGGTTCATAAACAAAGGGATTTAACTCCTAAATGGCAGAGGATTGAGCAGTGAGGCTGCAGGGGCATGTTCTATACACCAAAACTGCTTCATTAAGCTAAAGTTGTTCAGGTGACTATAGTGTCCCTTTAAAGAGTTACTCCAAACTTGTCCCGTCCCTCCCCCATCTAAAAAAAATTAAGCTTTCCATGCCTCTTCATGATGTCACAGGAACCACGCCAGGTCCAATAAAAGGCTTTATACAGAGAAGCCTGTGCTCTCTCTGTTCTGCCGGCGAGGGATAGGAGAGTAAAATACGTAAAGAATTTACATTAGGAAAGTCATGTGCGCTGGGGGTGCAACAATCTTCCAGCACCCAATTAAAAACAACTCAGTCTGTGAAGTGTTTAAAGCAGAAACACTGTACGTACATACTCCTACCACCACGAACACTTCAAACCATTGAAGTTGCCATGGTGGTTGGAGTAACTCTTTAAATAAACATTAAAATGGATACAATCCAGCAGTCTATACTTTAATGGCACAATCCACCGGCCAAACAAAATGAAACACTATTTAGTAGATACACCCAATTAAAACTTGAATGTATTTAATGATACATTTTTCATTGGGGGTATACATAAAAACAATTTTTTAAAAGCTGCAGGTCTCTGGTATGCACAACTTCTGCAAGCCGACCTGCCCAGATTTTCTGTCCAATCACAGACTCCCCAATGCAGCACAATGAGAAGTCCTTGCAAGGCAGGTGTCTGGGTCACTGCTCGTCTATCGAGTTTAGCTCCACTGAACTAAACAACCAGAAAGTAACAGGACCGGTTGTCTGATTGAAAGCCAAGACGTAAGCAACGTAAAGTGCTTTATGGGCATTGAGTGCTCCTTTAACCCCTCAAGGACCAAACTTCTGGAATAAAAGGGAATCATGACATGTCACACGTCATGTGTCCTTAAGGGGTTAAAAGGGAAATGCATACCTTTGAATGCGAATGCAGGCAGAAAAAGTAGGTAAATGTGATTTTTTTTTCATATTTACCTGTTTGTTTTTCTTCCCTGTGTTTTCCACTCCAACTTTGGGGGGTTTGGGGGAGGGGGGAACACTGATCTAACCAATTAGTGTCCTATGTCTAGGTATTGCAGAAAATAGCATTGTACATGATGTGCAACTGAACAATCAGACAACACCCCCGATTCACCCTGTCACACTTTGCCTTAAATGACCACTATAGTGCCAGGAAAACATACTTGTTTTCCTGGCACTATAGTGCCCTGAGGGTGCCCCCACCCTTAGAGTCCCCCTCCCGCCCAGCTCTGGAAGGGGGAAAGGGGTAAAAACTTACCTTTTTCCAGCGCTGGGCGGGGAGCTCTCTGCCTCCTCTCCTCCTCCGATCCGCCCCGTTGGCTGAATGCGCACGCGCGGCAAGAGCTGCGCGCGCATTCCGCCGGTCGCATAGGAAAGCGATATTGTATGAGCAATGTCATGGTAATGTGGCAAGATCGATGCACAACAACAGTGAAATCGGATATATACTGAGTGACACCCAAACTGCTCTGCACAATGAATCCCGCCATATACTGACACCCAAACTGCTCTGCACAATGAATCCCGCCATATACTGACACCCAAACTGCTCTGCACAATGAATCCCGCCATATACTGACACCCAAACTGCTCTGCACAATGAATCCCGCCATATACTGATTGACACCCACACTGCTCTGCACAATGAATCCTGCCATATACGGACACCCACACTGCTCTGCACAATGAGTCCCACCATATACTGAATGACACACACTGCTCTGCACAGTGAATCCCGCAATATATTAATTGACACACACTGCTCTGCACAGAATCCTGCCATATACTGCTTTGCACAGTGAATCCTGCTATATACTGACACCCACACTGCTCTGCACAGTGAATTCCGCTATGTTCTGACACCCACACTCCTCTGCACAGTGAATTCCGCCATATACCAACACCCACACTGCTCTGCACATTGAATTCCGCCATATACCGACACACACACTGCTCTGCACAGTGAATTCCGCCATATACCGACACCCACACTGCTCTGCACAGTGAAGTCCACCATATACGGACACCCACACTGCTTTGCAAAGTGAATTCCGCCATATACAGACACCCACACTGCTCTGCACAATGATTCCCGCCATATACTGAATGACACACATTGCTCTGCTCAGTGAATCCCGCCATATACTGAATGACACACACTGCTCTGGACAGTGAATCCCGCCATATACTGCTCTGCACAGTGAATCCCGCTATATACTGATTGACACACACTGCTCTGCACAGTGAAGCCCTCCACATACTGAGTGACACACACTGCATCCTGCTATATACTGAGTGACACACACACACACTGCATCCCGCTATATACTGAACGACACGCGCACACACTGCATCCCGCTATATACTGAACGACACGTGCGCACACACACTGCATCCCACTATATACACTGAGTGACACACACTGCATCCCGCTATATACTGAGTGACACGCACACACACTGCATCCCGCTATATACTGAGTGACACACACACACTGCATCCCGCTATATACTAAGTGACACACACACACACTGCATCCCGCAATATACAGAGTGACACACACACAGCATCCCGCTATATAAAGAGTGACACACACAGCATCCCGCTATATACGGAGTGACACACACACACACAGCATCCCGCTTATATAATGGAGTGACACACACACACAGCATCCCGCTATATATGGAGTGACACACACACACAGCATCCCGCTATATACGGAGTGACACACACACACAGCATCCCGCTATATACGGAGTGACAGACACACACTGCATCCCGCTATATATACGGAGTGACACGTACACCCACACTGCATCCTGCTATATACTGAGTGACACAGTGAATCCCATTATTAAAAAAAAAAAAAAAAAAAAAGGTCAAACGCATGTCCAATTAAGAGGAATGCTTCTAATATTTATTTATTTTTTGTACTATTTAAAATATCTTTTCACATGGGGCTGAACTTTTACACTTTCTAACATTTAAACAACACGTGCTACAACATAAATCAGGGGAGCAGTTTAAATCAATTTTGAGTGATTTAAAAGTTTTGTTTAGTTTTTTTTTTTTTTTGCACAAAACATGGCATTACAAATGGTGATCATGCCTCTATCAGCCCCGGGCAATGGAGACAAGTTTTCAGTTTCACTGATGCACTATGTGCACGCCTTCCCACGTAGTACAAAGGGCGGAATTCCATATTCATTAGTTAATTTATTATTTTTGTGCATAATCTATATACAAACTTATACAAAAAAAAATAATATAACATACAAACACTTGTTAAAATGTTGCAACTGGGTTTTTCTGCACATAGAGCTCCTACTCTGCCATAAGATGTAAAGAACAGAATGCAACTTTAATTAAGGAGGGAGCCCAGAGGAACTACCAGATTCATTGATTGAATAATAAAAATGGAACAGTCTAGAGGGAAGCTCTTTTCCTGTGCAACCCATCAGCATGTATAATTGATATCCAGGAATCCCTGGTGTATAGCTGACACAGATATTATGCTAAAAGTAAATTAAGGAACTCTAAGCTTCCTGCATGTTAGATCTATTTCTTAACATTTGGTCTGATGTACATCACAATACAAATTACCCTTATATGTCCCAGCCCCCCTATATATACCTGTAACATTCAAATTTCCCTCCTTGTTACATTTTTCATGGAATGGATTTATTATGGGGAAGAATATTGCTGTTAGTACGGCGAGACCCGTCCCGAAAGCAGTCACGGTAGTAAAAGGCTCCATTGGGTTTAACGAACATAACACCAGCCTCTACAACCTCATTACCGCAAGAGGCGCATGCTTCCGGGTAGCACTTTCAATGTCGCGCTGACGTCATGTCGACCGAGCGGATGCCGCCATTTTTTGTAAGGGCAACTCCAGCAGCAACATGTTTTTATTGTAATGGGATCTTATTTTCTTTTGATTTTGCATCGACTTTTGATTATTTTTTTTAATACTTTTTCAGAACATTTATTGCCCCCCCCCTAAGTAGACAGGGATGTGTAATATAAAACATTTTATATATAAAAAATATATAATATACAGAAATCACAAGCTGCTGTTTGTGCACACATTATTAGCATGAAAAGCAGTTCTATAATGACCGAATTTTATATCTGGAAAATAAAAGCAATACTTTGAGGGAAATTATTATTTTGCAAATGCCACAGCTGCCCTCATCATTGATGTTTAATATTCGCACTGCAGATGATTTGATCTACATCTCAGGATGCTAAGCTAACCTCAAGAATGCAGTCTGCAAACATGTGCAATGGCAAGGTTAGAATAAAACTGCTATAATTTTATAACATGGCCGATTAGCCATTAAAGAGACACTATAGTCACCAGAACAACTACAGTCTATTGCATTTGTTCTGGTGAGTAGAATCATTACCTTCAGGCTTTTTGCTGTATACACTGTCTTTTCAGAGAAAATGCAGTGTTTACATTACAGCCTAGTGATAACTTCACTGGCCACTCCTCAGATGGCTGTTAGAGATCCTTCCTGGGTCATGGCTGCCTAAAATGCATCCAAACATTCAGTATCTCCTCCCTCTGCATGCAGACACTGAACTTTCCTCATAGAGATTCATTGATTCAATTCATCTCAATAAGGAGATGCTGATTGGCCAGGGCTGTGTTTGACTTGTGCGGACTCCGCCATTGGTTTGCCTCCTGTGACAGTCTCAGTCAATCATATAGGGAAGCATTGTGATTGGCTCAGACCACCACTTCTGATGATGTCAGCAGACAGGTCAGAGGTAGACAGGAGCAGAGCCAACAGCTTCAGACTCTAATACAAGTAAGAGTTTACTATATTTAGGGAGGCCAGATGGTGGTTTTAACACTATAGGGTCAGGAATACATGATTGTGTTCCTGACCCTATAGTGTTCCTTTAATACTTAGCTTTTTGTATTGAAAAATGTAACATGCTCAATGTTTTAAATCGGCATAACGCAGGCAACAAAATAATATTTCACTGTGTTTATTCACCAAGGTGTTGGTTTGCTATTTTGACCTAATGTTGCAACTCCAATGCAATGTTTTTACACAATTTAGAAATATATTTCACAATCCAACAACAATGCATTCTCTGAAATAGATTCCTGAATGAGTGCTGTAGTCCAGCTGTTGGCTTTCAAGCCTTGCTGATCCCATAAGCAACAGATTATGAATTTTGCTCAGCAGTGCTATAGAAAGTTAAAGCAATATGCCAAACACCATAAACACTACAGCCCACTGCATCCTGGCACCATCCCAGGGCAAACCGTAAAATCATTTGAGAATGGTTTGACAACTTACCTGGGATAAGTTAGCCTCCTCTAGTACAGGCAGATGCTGGTTAACTACTTACCCTGCCCGTGTAGCAACGCACTTCTAGCACCACAACCATTACAGAAGCCGTTATTGTACTTGCAATGTTCCCTTAAATGATTCTCTTGGTTTAACACCATCACTATTTTGCAATGATCGCACACTTCAGAATGCAATTCACCCATATAAATGCTTGACAAAAGGCAGACTACCTCCATCAAGTTTTGTTATTTGATTAGCTGTAACTAGAGATGGATTTGAGGAAAAAGGCATTGTCTATGGAGGCTCCTGCGGTCTTGCGGGATGATCCATAGACATCAGTGTTATACTCTCGCATGTGTGCGAGAATACAGCACCTTGCTAAATAAGTCCCAAGAGATGAAACAGGCACCAGATAGACATTGTGGCCGCCATAATGACTGCATTAAGGAAGAAAAACCTATCTATCTATACGCCCACAGGCCACAGCACTGCAAGCAGCATAATTACCTCATTAATCACCAGTACCAGACATCTTTATATTTCTGGAGTGTAGACTGCAAAGCAGATTTTAAAAGTTTATTCAAAATTTTATGAGAAAGTGTATAGAAAATTAAGTAGAGACCATTGTTAGGTGTTTCTACCTTTTTGTCGACCTCCTGTACATTACAACTGGGCCTTAGTTTGGCCTTGAGAAATAACAACCATAATGATAGATAATGTTCCCCTTTCTTCGCATTAACATAAACGGCAATAAATAAATAAAACAAAACTACTAAAACCCTACTTTGAAAACCCTGCTAAAATAACACATATCCAGATTCTAATAAATAAATTTTAATTACACTAAAAACAAAATCAAGATGGTGATGTTTTAAGTGTCCTTACAAACCATCAAGAATAATGGTGATGGCTAACCTAAGCTGTTGCTGATAATGGAACAAAGTGAATTGAAGTCCACAACAGCTGGAATGCCAAAATGTAGCCACCACAGTTGTAGATTAGCCATTAAATAAACTGCAGGAAAGTGAAGAGTAGTTTGCAAATTGTAAGCTCATGTGAAGTAGAAAAGATTGAAGTCTTTGCTTGACTTTTTAATCCCTTCACCCAGCGTGATTTGGGGCGCATTTATCTGTATGTACTACTTAATTGTTGAATGTTACAATCTGCACTGTCTCTATCTGTGCATCAACATCGGTCCCTTGGATCAATAACGCCTGTTCATCTTCTTAAATTTCTCATAGTGATAGTCATCTGTGGCTTTTTCATTCGATGGGCGCTTGCGGTTGGGCGGAGAACCTGTAAAAAGCGAAAAAAATTTAAGTTATTTACAGTATCCACTAAATGCATCAAAAATACCCACAGAAAGTGTGATGGAGCTAATAAAATAAATGTCCAACCCATCCCTTACTACTTCTATAATAATTGGATAGAGAAATAAGTAGCGTTTTGTTCAGTGTTTTTTTTTCTCCCCAAAACTGAAGAATAGAAGATGCTTGACAATCTGACAGTAAAGGGACACTATAGTTACCAGAACAGCTACAGCTTAATATAGTTGTTCTGGTGAGTATAATCATTGTATGCAGGAATTTTCATGCAAACACTGCCTTTTCAGAGAAAATGCAGTGTTTACATTGCCCCTAGGGACACGTCCAAGTGGCCACTCCTCAGATGGCCACCGTAGGTGCTTCCTGGCTCAGTGCTACATAGAAGGCATCACTGCCGTTCAGCGTCTCTACGGGTACGCTGAATTTTCCTTTTGATTCAATGCATCTCCATGACGTCATTTGGCCCCCTCCCCCAACGGGAAGCATTGGATTGGCTACCATTGGCATTTCTGATGAGGTCACCAATGGGGCAGGGCAAGTGCACCCGTGCGGCACTGGAAATAAGGTGAGTTTTACTTCCTTTTAAGGGAGCTAAGGGGGGAGGGGGCAAGCCACCTAAATGGTGGGTTTAGCACAATAGGGTCAGAAATACATGTTTGTGTTCCTGACCCTATAGTGTTCTTTTAAAGAGATCTATGCCTATGATGGCACAACACTAACTGCTCCATAGCAGACCCCAGGAGCAAAGCATCTGATTCAAAAGTGAGTGAAATGTGTCAACCATTTCGTTCACTTTCTTTCAGGCTAAAGTGCTTCATATAAAACTGTGTTATAAAATAAAATGTTTTCTGTGGTCCTCAAAATAAGTGATTTCTATAAGTTTAACAAATTCCAATATTTCTAGTTTAACAGTCTGCCAAGCGAGTTTTTACATTACTCATCCAAGGAACTGAAAGATGGAACCTGGATTAATTATCACTGCTAATAAGTAAATAATTTACTACCTTTCGTTTGAATACTAAATACTTAAAATGTAGCACTGACACAAAGAAATTCACCCCTGGTGAGTATGCTTTTTGCTTACAGGGGCGATAACTTTTACAGTCTTGCTAATATCATAGTATTTAAAATTTAAACCCTATTACACTATTCTTTTTCTTTGAACAATTTATACATATTCTCTTTACTGCATATTATTAATCTAATTGCATTTTCTTTCATCTGACCACTAGATGGAGCACCCAGCGTTTTCTTTACACGGCAGTATATCTTCTTGTAGATAGTTTTGGTTTTGTTTTTGCCATTGTTTACTATATGATTATTGTGTTTGTGACAGGGGATATATCCCTTTCATATTGACAATGCTTTTGACTATGTATATTGTTAGAATATGTTTATAGTATAATTCCATACTATTGTGCTTGATTATGTAATATGTATATTAACACAATATGTTTCTGGTATGCATATTTCTCATCTCCCATCAAAGGTTTATCTGATATCATAAGGGGTTCCATCTTATTTTTCTTATAGCACCTATTGGTTTCCCAGCAACGATTTCAGCGTTGATAGATTAATAAATGAGAATGTCATTTCCTTTATTCACTTAATGGTCTTCATAAGCATGTATTGGTAAGTTCAATGTGTTTTTATATGTAGCTTTCTATATAGATAAAAGCCCCAGAGGCTGAAATGTCGACACTGTATGTTGTACTCTTATGATACTCTATTTCTTTATGCATGTCCCATGAACACTTTTTTTTTTTTTTTTGCAATTCTTTATTTTTGTTGTGCATGTTATACATAGCAATGACATACGCCACAACAGCGTGTGTAAGAATGTACTTAGGGTGAACAGTGGCAAGAGGAGTTGCATATTTTTGTATAAGCATAATAAACATCAGCTTGGCTAAACAGTGAAGACGTTAAATTGAGAATGAAAAAGTAGCTTATCATAACAGTTATAACTGAATATATCCTCGCTAAAGTTGCTGTGAATACCATGCGATAACAGATGAACTGATTGATATAGGCTGGGTCTAGCTGTTATACATGGGTGAGTCACATATAGGTAGAAGTCATTAAAATTAAGATGAAAAGGTAGCTTATCGTAACAGTGAAATTGTGCCTAGTTACAATTATGAAGGTCTTAGGCACATATGAACAGTATACCCATTAGAGTGCTTAGCTGACAGTGCAATTAATCTAGGCATTATAGTATAAAGATTCCTCCAATGGGAAGTTATCATGCTAAGCTGCCAGGCTGCTGAGTACTACCGGCTATAAGGGTACAGCTGTTTCCCTAGGGGAGTCAGCATGTCTGCAGGAGTGTAGGTATATTAGATAATTTTACTCCATTCTGTTTACTTGCACTCATTATTAGCCTCAGATATCCAACTGGTTATGCCTATCGTGCATTAGATTAAGTGAACTGATAAGGCTACGGTCGAGCAAAGCTAATAAGCAAAGACAACTTCAGTTATTGCAAACAAACATCATTGCAAGTTATTGGAAGAGTTCTCACTGGGTGTTCTCTGGCAAGAGCCCGGGATTGGGTATCCTGTGTTGGCAGTCCAGAGTGTGTGAATGCTGCATCCTCTTGTAGGGTGACGAGAGTCCCACAACGGTGAGTCGGAGTCCACAGAACGTGACGCAGGTCCTGTTGTCCGGTGTGGGGCTGCGTTACTGTGCCAGTCAGCGGTCAGCCAATTCCCACTCTTAGGCCCTGTGTGTGATTTGCTGGTCTATTAGGCTCCGCTTGGTCGGCGTATGTATAGACATCCAAGGTAGCCCCTTTGCGGCTCCTGTGTGAGGTGTTTCTCTGCTCTCTGTCCCGCTGCCTCAGCCGGGTCACATTCCCAAGTGCTGTGTAAGTTTTACTGTGCAAGAGGTTTCTGTTCCACCGTGCCCGAGGTGCAGGTTGTTCTACAGCCAAGCAGTCATGGGTGCTCCGTCGCCGCACTGTGTCAGAGCGGGTCCGCTGGTACACCGCTTGTCGGTGGGCTTTCCGTGTGCCGGGTCGGCTGCTTGTGGATTTCTTCGGTCGAGTAGACGTTGCTGCCTTCAGACTAATCGTCTCGACAGGAACGGGTGGTCGGTGGTATATGCGCCGCCAGAACCGGTCACACAGAGCATCAAAGCGCGCCTCAAAGCTCTCTCTCCATTGCGGCTCAGCGGTACAACTCTGGTGTTGCTGAGGATGAGGAGTGGCGGCCATGTTTTGCATGCCACGCGGTTGTTGTTCCAGCAGGGAGCCTCGTTGTGTGGAAGAGGTGAGTTTCCCCAGCGGGGACCGGGATGACCCCCACCGGTCCATAGGGGGGGGTTGCAGGGCAGCTGACAGGCCATTGATCAGAGCAGGCCCTATGCTGAGGGAGCGGCCGCCTCCCCCCGTCTTCAGGCTGCTAGTCACGCTAGGCCGCATGTTCGGACAGCGGATTTCCTTGGTCTAGAGGAGTATACAGGACACCCACGAGTGCCCACACGTTGCAGGGACAATCCACCATCTACTCCGCTCTGAATTTCAGGCGACTTAAGTGGTAAAGGCTTCGGTTAAACTCAGTTGCTCAGGAGCAGTTAACAAACACGTCTGGCCATCTTAGCTGTCAGGCCCCGCCCCCCCATGAACACTTTTGTTTTTGATATATTATATATATATATATATATATATATATATATATATAATATATATATATATAAAAATAAT